ATTTTTCAGCATTCTGCATTAAATGAGAACAAAAATATCAGTCAGGGAAGTTACCCAGTGCAGTGATTCGCAGGCGTCAAGTGTGGAACGATATAAGTCCCTTTTTTTTTTGTGACAGAGGATGGGGGAGGTAGGAGAACCGTAATGGAGTCATTGTTGAACCCTGAGGGAAGTGACACAGATTGAAAGGTGTGACAGAGAATGAATCACCTCCAGAGTCTTTGAAATGTTGTTTTTTCCCCTGCAGAACCAGTTGTAGACAGATTACAACAGCAGATTACAAAGTGTCATTTCTGAAGCCTTTAAACAATACGGTTGTTTTATGATCTGAAATTTGAAACCTCAATAATCTTATTCGTCTGTTCTGTAATTAAGATTTACTCACACAGGCGTTTCTGTTTTGCAGCTAGTCATGGCTCATATGTCTGAGGTGTTACTTGATGGTCTACACTTTCACATTGTCTCTATCTCTTTTCTCCATCTACTGTATCTGCCTGTCTTTTCTTTTACCCCCTTCTTACCTTGTATCCTCTCCTTCCTTTTAGCAGCTCTTTGAAGCGTTATTAAAACCCTAAACGCTGGCTTAAGTCTGTAAATGAGCTGGAAAAGGTGGTAATTCATGTGTCATAGCCTCATTTCCCTCAAGCATTGAACAATGCTGATAAAACCTGCTCGCACCTTACTCTGTTTTTTAGTGCTGCGGTTACCAGCTGTTACAAGGAATGGGATAAGATGGAGTTCTCTATTTTATTGGATTTCAAACTTTGATGGCTTTAAAGCTTTTGCATCAGGGTGGATAAGTGCTTTCCAGGCTCTTCTGTATGGACTCAGGTGCACACACTGCCCAAGAAGACTGACAAATAGCGAGGATTAGGGCGCACACATAAGCACACATAATTAGGTTTTTTTTTTTTCCCGGGTGAACGCTGTCAACTGCTGATCATTTAATGGCAGCTGGCAGGTACAGGCAGGATTTAGCCTCCCATCAGTTAGACTGGTTATTTATTAGTACATTTAGAAAGTGGGGTGTAGGCGCCCTGAAACTCAATTACCACACTGTATGGCGGGCAAACCACATGTGGCTGTCAAGATGTTCCCTCTGGCTTGTTAGCCAGTTATAACTTGAACAGTTTCTCCTTTTTTTTTTAATCTCTGAAAAACACAGAGAACGTTCTGGTTTTTTTTGTTTTTTTTTCCTCCTCCGGCAACATATAGAACTATCCCTTAGATATCACAGAAGAAGAGTGAGAGCAAAGGAGTGAAGAAGCGACACACAGAGTGAGAATTTGATTCGCTTCAGGTGGCGCTTTGCACCTCTGAATCACTTTGGATTTGACAGAGTTATGGTCGGAATAACAAAACAACTTTTCAAAACATGATTCTGACCTTTACCAGCAAAGCCTGGCGGTGGGTGATATCAAAGAAATGTAAAAAATAACGATTTTATCATGGCAGGATCACTGATCTTAAAGGCTAATCTGCCAGTTACTGACCAGTTCAGCCATACTCACTTCCTTGTATAATGTTTAAAAATGCACAAAAACTGTAAAAAATTAGGTTAGTCTATTTCAACTGTATTCATCTATTTTGCACATTAAGGAAAAAAAAACATATTAAACAAATAAAAAATACTAACAATACTCAGTGCAGGAAGAGGCAGAAAACTCAAAGAGCTCATTTGAAGCCTCCACCTAAATAATGCTAAAATATCATCAAGTAGTTGGGTAATACATGAGCATTTGCCAGTAGTTGGCATCATATGGAGGGGGGTCTGGAGGTCTCCAGAACATTTTAGCACCAAAGATTTCTTTCCGATCCATTTTTATGCAAAATTTGAGCGTTTTATGCACCACTTTAAAAAAGAATGGTTCAGCATTGTGTCCTCTTTTGGGGTAAATATGGATTTTAGTGTTCATCAGGTACATTTTTAAATCAAACATAATCCAAGAATGTGATCATTCTGTGACACTTGGTCAAAGTATGCTTTTACTGGAATTCATAGAGGGGGGCAGGGCATCTTTTGATTGACAGACAGACAGTCACCATAGTTACTCACTCTAACCAGCCTGCTACATACTGAACAAGAGGAGAAGGAGCTGCTGACTGACATCACTCTTATGCATGGAAATAAATGATTGCATTGTTCAAAATATATATTTTTTAACAACTGAGGTCCGGACCTCGCTGATATCATCGCCTCCCTCTGTTTCATTCATTCTCTCTCCGTTATCACAACAGGTGAGCTTCGAGTGGAGCGGCTTGTTAGTAACTGAGAGAGAGCAGAAGAACAGCGGAAGCAACAGTTTAAACAACGGGATTATATCTCCCATGGCTGACTGTTTGTCTGAGCTCCACTCTGGTTGACGTCTCTGCAGACTGTTTATGATATCGTCTCTCGGGCTCGTTAAAGGGGTTCGCTTTGTCACCATCCAAAATGCAAACCTTAACTGGGCCAACTCTGCAGATGACCTTTTCTTGCACCTTGTCGGTTTGGAAAAACAGTTCCGCATAACTGAGATGGAGTTATTTTTACAGACTAACTCTCAAGTTTCGTTTTCATTTTCAAGCCATGAATCCTGCTCAGCTGTGAAGCGAAAGGGGAGTGGAAGCGTCTGTGAAGGAGCGCACACTGCATCATGATAGAATGTACACTGTAGGCCGATGCTACGATAGCTATGCTTTAGCAGATTGTCAACACATTCTAATCCTGATCGTCTCATCGCACACCTCTAGCAGAGCCTCATTCTTTATAGTGAGGTTATCTCTCTGACGCCCTGTCTGCGTGTTTCTGAAGTCTTATTCTTTCAGAGTGAATCAACACTTGCAAGAGGGCCTTTAAATATGTCTTCTGAGTAAATGATCAGCAAAGAATTTGACACGAGTAACAGTGGCAAATAGTTAAGTTTGAAGTTGTAGTATATGAAGCATGAAATTATATTACACAAAATGCAAATAACCTGTCAGGAAAGACATACATTTTGACCCCACATCATGCATTTCTTTGTTTATGTCTTAGTTTTAATGCAATATTCTTGCATTTGTTCTAAATGTTCCTTCGCATCCAGTGCCTGCAGACAGCTCTTTGATGATGGCAGCTGGAATTCGCTGGATGGGGGAGGGCGGCCGAGTTGAAATAGCAAAAGCTCTGGGAACCCAGACAGTGTGCAAAAATGAAGGGAGGGAAAGGTGGAAAAGAGGAAGGGAGGGTTTGAGAGCTGGAGGCACAATGGCGTTAGGAATGCAATGTATGATGAGGTTACACTGGCATGAAGTAGAAAGTAATCAAAGTAATGGTGTATATTCTGTGTGAATAAATTCTGTTTATTTGCAGATTGGCATGGCTTGAGTTGGGCTTTTTGTTGTAGTGTCCGTTGTAAGAAGTGTGACCATGTTTACTGAGCATTTGCTGTATGCATGCACATTGTGTGAATGCTGCATATAAGTGACATCAAGCAGCATTTGTGAGTCCGTGTGGAGAAGATAGTTTGCAAAAGCGGATCCCTATGACAGTGTCTGGATGCATTTGCACAGTATTTTTTCTAGTCTGTCTCTAACTCCCAGCCTTATGTTGTGAAGCATGTTTATGTTCTTGCGCTGTGTGTGATTTATTCTGCTGCCAGCACTGGAGGAGGGCGGCTAGAGCAGAAATCAATGATACCTTCAGCCGCTTATTTATGTTTGCACCAAACCCAGCGACTAGTGGCTGGATGAGAAACAAGCCCCCGACAGGAGAGGGAGATGGCTGGGGGGAGGGGGGGGGATTCATTGGTGCTGAGGGAGTGGTGATAAGGGCCTCAGGGTGGGGCAGAGGACAAACGGTACTACATGAGTGTGAGGAGGTCGCACGTTATAAAGGGAGGGTGACTGATAGTTGAGTCAATGAAACACTGTCTGTTTATATCTCAAAGTGCGTCACCTCTTTACAGGTTAGTTAAGGCTCCTTTAGATTATTCAAAGCTGCAGTATACAAAAAGCCTCAACTCCTATAAGCAGAAAGTGTTACCCCCTCTTTACAAAATCAGGTCAAGGCAGCTTGCCATCATTACACACAGTCATATGCTGATGCAGGCAGTATCTGCAGGTAAGCTTTATAAATGTCATGTTATCCAGGATACAGAAAGATTTCAGGTTTAAAGGTATAGCTCGGGTGTTCTGTGACGTCGTTTCAATCAGTGCAATATATTTTGACTTCTGTAGGTCAGCGGTTTGGGTCTTGGCCTCTGCACACTAGGGTTGGAAATCGCAGATTGACTAACGATACGATATGATACGTGACGGCCCATGGCAATTATAATATCACAAGACAGCGATTCTGTGGTGATTGATGAATTCTAAGACAATGATACATCTCAATATCTGACGCCTGACGCCCAGCCTCCACCATTGGACTGTGTCAGGGATATCTGTTTAGAGCTGTCTGTGTTTTATCTGTTCAATTCTGTTCAGATTTACTTCCTGTTCCATTCACTAGACTTCCAGCTATGCCTAACCCATACCAGGAGTCGTCCTTGATTTCATTTATATCTTTTCCTTTAGTCACATGTGTCTGTTAACCTCTCGCTTTATCGCTGCTATTTTCATTTTTCCACCCACAATAAATGAACCGATCATAAATTGGCTGGCCTTCTTTTCTACATGTAGATGATTTGAGTTTGTCCTCTGATGAAGCGATCAGATGTGCATTTCAAGTTTGTGCAAAGATGAGCTGTCTTTGTTCTTATAGTCCAAGACTCCGATCATAACGTATTGTTCGAAGCTCACAAATATAGCTTTTTATTGACGATAAGAAAATCTTTAAGGTCATCAACTTTGGGTTCTACTTGTGTTGATTGAAGTGGTTCGAGTTTGGGGTTAATGGAGGTTGGATTTTATCGGTAATGCCGTACTGATAAACCTTAACCCGCATCAATAATGTAATTGATCCGTCTAATGCAATCATATGTTTGTTCTGTTTCTCATCATTACTCTTCTTTGCCTTTTTTTCCGCCTTTCTCTTACAGCTTCCCTTGAACCACATTTCACAGAGTGCATATCGAGGAACCAGGAGACGTTCCGGTGTTGGTGGAATCCAGGGGACTTCCACAACCTGTCCTCACCTGGAGCACTCCGAGTCTTCTACCTTAAAAAAGAGTGAGTTTGATAGGTACCTATTTAACTGGGAGTTCAAGTTATTGTTTTGCATGTCTAGCACTTTATGTATCTTCCTGATACACAGATAAAACCCATCAAAAATGCTACAAAACAACATTCCTGCTTTTGCTTCTTCTTATCTTTCCCCCGTCATTGTTCACCTCCTGCAGCTCCCCCACCAGTGAATGGAAAGAGTGTCCAGAGTACATCCATTCAAACAGGGAGTGCTTCTTTGATGTGAACCACACTTCCATTTGGATCCCCTACTGCATGCAGCTCCGCAGCCAAAACAATATCACCTACTTCAATGAGGATGACTGTTTCACTGTGGAGAACATCGGTTAGTAACAAACATCTGAAGATCTATCTGGATTTTAGCAACAATAAGGGATATTCTTGATTTCATCCCATCGGAAAATATGTTTGAGTCAAGCAGAATCCCACTTGAAAAATGAAAAATGAATCAAACGCAAAAAGTGAAAAAACTGCAGTTCCTCAAGTGTCCACTTGGACCCATATTAAAATGCCAATTTCTAAGTCCGAAATAAACATGTTTGCAGCCTAGTTCAAAGAACAGTTTTGATTTCTATAGCCTCAAGTCAATAATATCAATTATATTTCAATAATATGGATCATATATTAGGGATGAGGTTCGGTTAACACATTCGTGCATTGTAGCTGTTTGCCAGAGGCTTGAGGGCTTCCTCAGCTTCCTGTTTCTAGAAAGAAAGAAAGTTAGATGCGAAATTGTGAAATGTGAAATTCAATATGGCAACTGCCAATATTGGGCTTGGGTGAAGGCATTGAGACTACGTATGTGTATGTTTTTAACAGTCTATGGTTTTAGCACAATATTTCCAAGAAATGTTGCTTGGTATCAGCCAAACCAGAAAATGTCACATGCATGTCAATGTTGGATGAGTCAGTGTTTACACAGTCAATGTTTTCATGTCTGACAGTCTTTATCGAACAAGAACTTTATTGTAGATGTTAATAGATACGGCATGTCATAAGTTTGCTGATATCACTCGATAAGGATAAGCTGTTTATTAGCTTTCCTCATGTGTCCAAATTGATTTTTTCTAGATAACATTTAGATTCTGATTTCTTTTTACCAAAGGCCCCAGTAGAGTGTACAGTAAAGAGACAGGGGGTTGTCTTTCATTGCAGCACTGTGGGTCTGTTTGGGTTTTGAGACTCAATCATTACAATATTGTATGGATTCTTTGGTCAACATTGTTTACAAAGGTTGTTTACAAATTATTGGATCTCTTCATTTTTTTTGCATGTTACATGTGCTTGAATGTTGAATGAATATCTCCAAAAATCTGAAATATATCCACAATACCAGAAAGGGGGGAAAAATTGTTTCCAAGCTGATATATCCGTCAGTTAATATCATTAAGATTTATTTTAGCTGCTTGTCATTTTCTACTTAGAGGATGGGAAAAGTGACAGAGGCTGCCATCAGCATGTCAAAAATATAAAACTTCAAGATGATGACAGTAATTCATGTTTTCAGTTATATCAGTGAATCAAATTATCCAACCTTCCGATCCACTATTTCCCCTTTTTGTCCCGATCAAAATGCATTAACGGCTGCTTGTTATATTTCCAGGACATGGCTTTAAAAATAATTTTCCCCAGTCAGTCTTGATGTTTCATATGATCTCCCAAACGTTACAAGGCCAAAATGTGTTGGTACCAAAGAAATTGAGTTTTCTTTTTTTATGGAAATTTTGTCTTTAATTTACAAAGAGTAATTGTGGACCCATTTAATGTAACTTATAATTCCTTATTTGTTTCTTTTTGGAACCTCGGGACATAATGTGTCCCCTTGAGACAAAATAAATTGTGATAATTATTTTCTCAAAGTTTGAGCATGCACTCTTTTGTTCAAAGTCACTCGTGACTTAAACATTACTTTTCACCTTGAGACAAATTTAACTTCAGCTGCACACCTGGTAAGGCTTAAACTGGCATAGTCAGACATGTATATTTCATTAATTGAACCCCTAACCCTAACCCTCGGGATGTTCATGTATGCAAGGACAGCACATCATGCTAATGCTCTTAAAGTAAACCAACAAACAATGGAGGTGAACCCCTCTGATTTTTGACTTATCAGATATTTACAGAAGTTTCTTTAATTAAAGGGTTACTTTAACTATGATTGTAAATTTGGTCATCCTTGATTTGCTTGGTGTTTTCAGAGCCTTCAACTCATTTACTAACTCATGGTTAAGCATGTAAATAGCATTTTGTGTTTTGCCCTCTTCCTTGCAGTACATCCTGACCCCCCAGTGTCTCTAAACTGGACACTGTTGAATATAAGTCCCTCTGGACTAACCTATGATGTCATGGTCAACTGGGAGCCCCCGCCCTCTGCTGATGTTGGTACAGGCTGGATGCGGCTAGTGTACGAGATCCAGTACAGAGAGAAAAATACCACTGGGAGCTGGGAATCGGTGAGTCCTCTCTCTTATACCTTGCTCTGAAAGTTTCTCTTCCTTGCTTTGCTTGTATGCACACACACATACAGACACACAGCTTCATGTCCTGACACGTGTAAATACACACCACAAAACTTCCAAGACGGTCTCTGTGCACAGGCACAAGCTCACACAAATGCAAACATTCATGCCCTTAACTTAAAGTAGAGGTGGGTCAAACAGCCACAGTGTCGTGTTTCCTTCCCTCTCCTCCCCTCAACTGTGTGGCTAAAAAGCAGTGGAAGCCTGAGCAAAGCCCTCTGGGAAAACTTTCTGAAGGAAGTCAAGGGAGGGGTCTGTAGGTCAGATGCCATGGGACCTTGAACAGACACATATTCATTACAAATGGGCCAGCTAGTTCTACAAACGCAGCCTTGCGTTTGTAGAACTAGCTGGCCATCTATTATGACAGTATGTCCTACATCTTATGAACTAAAAATACATTAACCTTTACCCTAAACCTTTGGAAAGACGTGTCACAGGTACCAAAAATAAACATAACCCCCTTGACCTCTGTTTAAGCTTACATTTGAGGTGTTTCTGTTAAAAAAAAAAAGTCATCTGTTTCATTTAAAGCTCATGTGAGAAGTTTTTAGTTGGCTGTGAAACAGACTAAAAGTAACACTGAGGCCTCTTTCTAAACTAGAGGAGCAAACGAGACCACCAGCATGAAGACTGACTGTTTCTGTTTAGTTTTTTTTAATGTTGGAAATGCTGCGACAGGATAGGGGTCTTTTTTAATTTTCTCTTTTTGGTTCTCTCTTCCCTTGGTGTGTGTGTGTGTGTGTGTGTGTGTGTGTGTGTGTGTGTGTGTATATCAGTTGGAGACACAGCCGCACACCCAGCAGACAGTCTACGGCCTGCACATAGGAAAAGAGTATGAAGTGCACATCCGTTGCAGGATGCAGGCCTTCACTAAGTTTGGAGAATTCAGTGACTCCATCTATGTTCTAGTGACTGAGGTCCCCAACAAAGGTAAGATTTGTTTCAGCTCTTTTATTCGGCACAGCAAATAAATATTGCTGGCCCCGTTGTTCTCGCTGTGGTCATAATGAAATGAGGATAATATGTTCTGTTTTGTGTTTTGTGTTTCAGAGTCTACCTTCCCACTCTTGCTGGTGTTTGTTTTCGGGGTTGTGGGCATCCTCGTCCTCATCATGCTCATTATAGTCTCCCAGCAGCACAGGTAGGAACAGGCAACATTCAGCAACATTATCCAAAACACGTTCGACCACTGCTGCATTATTTATGATAGTTACAGCTGGAGCGAATGTTTTGAAAATGTGCAGAAACACCCCTCTCCACAATCACACACATACACACACACACACACAAATACTGACACCTGTGAAGAGATGACTTCATCATGTCCTCCTCTCTTTGTCGTTACAGAATAATGATGATTCTTTTGCCACCCATTCCTGCACCCAAAATTAAAGGCATTGATCCTGAGCTGTTGAAGGTACATTTATGTTGGTGTTTTTATTCTGCCTTGTCTTTGTTGTCCTCATCATATACTCTATATTTATTTAGACATACATGGTACGTTCATGTTGTGTGCAATTATGTGGATAATGGCTGATTTGTAATCAGAAATGACAGTGCTAAACATATTGAATGCTTGTGGTTATTTGAACTGTATCGTGAAATACTTTCAAAGAACTGGCGGAGGACTGGTAGAACTTCATCTTCAAAATGAAGAATATCCAAATTGAGTGTTTGAAACATGGTCGTAGTCTCCTTTGCACTACCCACTGGTTCCAGAGAGCGGCGTTTTGAAGCCGTCTTTAAAGATGTTTATTCCTGCTGTCATTTTAACTTGGGTGTTAATGGCACTTGAAGGGCTTCAGCAGCCGTCCTTGAGTGGACACTTGAGGAATTGCAGGTTTTTTACCACCTCTATATTGATTTAATTTTCCAACGCTGGAGGTTGCTGCTTGGCTATTACGAATGATTTTTTTGTTATTAATGTACCTTTTTTATATATTCTGTAAACTGCACACACTTTCCCAGAGCCAACCAACATCTTCACGCTACTTCTTTTGTCCAACACTTTAAAACCAAAGTCTTTATCTATAAATGATGTCCGTTTTTACAGAGTATTGTTTCCTATGGTATTTACACAAAGAGGGAAATTGCAAACATCAACAATTCACAGCTGCCAGCACACGGACTTGTGCACTGTTGATTTGTAAGTTGATTATCAAACATGTTGTGTAACCAACTATTCTTTTTGTTGTTACATTTCCATTGTAACTTTGATTCAAAACAGACACTGCTGGGCGTCCATGTGGCTCGGTCGGCTGAGGCACTTCAGGCCACATAAACATCACATCACATCTCCCTCCGTCCCTCCTCATGTCCTATCGCAGCCTGTTATCATTCATCGCCAACCACCGAATAAAAGCACAAATGTCCATAAACTATGTAAAAGAGCAAACAGGCCCTCTTGTTTTGTTGTAGGTAAACAAGACCAGAAGCAGCACTGCGAGATAATAAGATGGGAAGATGGTCTTGGTTGTGCTGCGAATGCATTATTGTCAGATGATGTGGGATGCATTAAACAGGCAGCCTTTTTTCCTCTTAACAAAACAAACCTCTCCCCTGGTCCTCGGAATAATAACACCTGATTATAAAAAAGTAGCTATTTCATGCTCGGACAAAAGTGAAACACAAAGGCGCGTTCTATCGCTGAAATGTACACATTATTAACAAGCTGTTATAGAACCAGATAGGACTTTTACAACGAAAGGACATTCTGCATCCCTATTTGAAAACACAAGTTGACAAAGACAAAATTGTTTTTCTTTACAGAAGGGGAAACTGGTTGAGCTGAATTTCATCCTGAGTGGTGGAGGGATGGGCGGCTTGCCGACGTACGCGCCCGACTTCTATCAAGACGAGCCGTGGGTGGAGTTCATAGAGGTGGATGCTGAGGATGCAGACGCTGGAGAGAGGGAGGACAACCAGGCCTCGGACACCCAGAGACTCCTCGGTGTGCACCAGCCCATTGGCCACCACATGAACATCGGGTGTGCCAATACCATCGGGTAATCCACAGATTTCTTATTAGAGGGCTATTGTGATGATTTTCATGTTTATTTTCCATAGGGACAATGCAATTTAACATAGCTTTAATGCAAAGCAGGAAAATGTTAATTTTTCAGCTTTTGCTCATCTCCATTCTTGTTACTTGTTCGGCCTTTTGATGTCCAGCGTCATTTAAAGCTCCTGTATTTAACTTTTGGTTTGTGTTGATTTTAGCGCCCCCTGTGGATAAGACTGTACCTCATATCACTTTGTTGATTTTCTACTGTACATGTTTAAGTAGTTTTTTTTTAAACAATCAAGTCCTGCTGTCTTTTAACTGTCAAATGCATCAATCATGAAGGATCTTTGCTGTGGGAAAAGTAAAAAGTGTCATGATTTGGTCTTTTTTAGTTTCGTTTTTTTAGTGTTTCTTCATGTTCGAGTGTGTTTTGTTCATTCTTGAGTTCTGTGTGTCTTCAGTGTTTCATGTATTTATTTTGTAGTTGTCCTCAGTGTTTCTTGTCTTGTGTTCATTCCTTCCTCTGTGTGTTTCCCTCCAGTGTTGGTTGCCCTGATTGTCTTCACCTGTGTCGTTAGTCTCACCTGTGTCTGATTACCCCTTTGTCTATTTAGTCTCAGTGTTTCTTCCCTTCTGTGTCCGTTTGTTGTATGTAGTTTGCATGTTGTTCGTTGGTATGTCAGTTTTTGCTCGTGCTCCTCTGTGGCTCCCTGTTTTGATCCCTGTGTTTTTTGTTGAACTTTTGAAATTAAGTTTTGTTGCCTTTGGCCTTTTTGTTTAATTAAATATTTTTGGTTTCTGCACTTGGGTCCACCCCCCTTGTTTTACACATCGAACCGTAACAAAAAGGCTGTTTCTGTTGCATGCTGTTAATCACTTTCATCTGACACCTCACCCCCCCCCCCCCCCCCCCCGCCCCGTCAGCAGTTTCAGGCATTCAAAATAACCAGTAGAAATCATCTAACTTGTTGTTGATGGTCTCGTTTGCTTCTGTAGCTCAAGAAATGTTCAAAATAATTATAAGAATTTTCTAAAACCAGCTACAAACTTGTCACTGGAGCTTTAAGTAGACACCTTTAAGAATTGTTAAACCACAAAACAGCCAGAGGTAGACAGCACTTGTTTTCACACTGAGGATTGCTTGAAAAATATGATTCTCTTTTTTCCCCAGCTTCCCCGATGACGACTCAGGCCGGGCCAGCTGTTACGATCCAGATCTACCAGAACAAGACGCACTTTTGCTGATGACCACCCTGCTACCAGGCCAACCGGAGGACGGGGATTCCTCCTTCGATATTGTGGAAAGAGCGACAGCCCCAGAGAGAGGCGACAGACCCCTGGACCAAACCCAGACTGGAGCATCCCAGACTTGGGTCAACACAGACTTCTACGCCCAGGTCAGCAACGTGATGCCCTCTGGAGGCGTGGTGCTGTCTCCTGGCCAGCATCTCCGCATCCAAGAGAGCGGCCTGGTCACCGAAGAGGAGACACATAAGAAGGGAAAAGAGAACAAAGGAGGGGAGGAAACTGAAGACAAAAATCCGAAGGAGCTGCAGTTTCAGCTGCTGCTGGTGGATCCTGAAGGAAGTGGCTACACCTCAGATAGCAGCAACCGGCAGATCAACACTCCCCCCAGCTCCCCAGTACCTGGCGAGGGGTATCAAACCATACACCCTCAGCTGGTGGAGACCAAACCTGCCGCAACAGCAGAGGGAAATCAATCCCCTTACATTCTTCCTGACTCTCCCCAATGCCCGTTCTTCGCCCCTGTTGCGGACTACACAGTGGTGCAGGAAATGGACAGTGAGCACAGTCTGCTCCTTAACCCTCCTCCTCCCCGCCACTCTCCCCCACCCTCCCTAACACAGCAGCACCCACTCAAGGCTCTACCCTCCATGCCTGTCGGGTACATCACCCCAGACCTGCTGGGGAACCTCACACCCTGAAATGACATTGCTGTTTAAAGGCCTTTGAGGTGAAAGATTGTTTGAGCAGGGAATTTCCCTTGCTTTCAAAGAGCTTGTTCCTAACTAATTCCTAATAATGGAAACCCTAAAAAAAACTTGTCGCACACAGCGCGGAGGCAGTGTACATGTGATTCGGTTCCGAGGGAGCTGAAAGGGCGATGTGTCCAGCTGTGTTTTTTGACTTTTTAGCTTCTGCATAATCAGTCAATTTGATGCAGAGGTGGAACAAAGCGAAATGTCACTAACCACGTTTTTTTTCTGACATCAGTGCACACAAATGAAAGCTTGTGACTATGCATGAGTAAAATACATTGCATCATATCTCTGTCTAATCATGTTGGATAAGTACAGAAGCCCTAAGTGGACATGCCTTCATACTTTTTAAGTCATTATACTCCATTTCCCGTGATCATAACTTTCTGTTTGTTGTTTGAAATCAAATTTTTCTCCTTTTCTCGGACAGCATGGCTGTTATATTCCCATTATAAGAGCTTATTTTATCTCAAGATAACAATTGTTTTCTTGAGTTGAGGGTTATTTTTTTTTTGGCAATCTAGAAAACAAAACAAGAGGCTGGTCATGGAGACAAGTCAGACCATGACATGCTGCCATTACCGACACTAATGAGGTTAATTAAGCCGATTTCTTTGTTCATTTTGTGCATTTGCAACTCTGGGGATATGAGATCTGGAGAACACTACCAGAAATGAGTCATTATCGCAGGAATATGGAGTAAATAAAATGTAAGGATGCATGTCCTCTTAGGGCTTTGGTAGATATAAAAGAGCAGTGATTTGTTGAAGTCTTAAACTAGCTGAGAGATGTCATGTATGATCGATTGAGAGTAGACAAGCACAATCTAGTCATGTTTTGAACGCCCCTCCAAGACAAACTCATCGCTGTCAGATGTTTTTTTTTTTTTTTTTATATTCTTTGAATTTCTCAACTTATTAGAAGGTCATTAGAGATATATTTTTATACAAAACATACCTAAACTTTCAGAACGATCCACCTTTCAATTTAAGTCTAAAAATGGGAACTATGCAGTTTATGAATGCATTCCTGGCCTCGATTTGTTTAATTGTATTCATGCTTTAGTTATTGCAAATTGGCCAAACTCGAACTTCATTATGTAAATAGGTTTTTTCCCCCTACAGCCACCAACGAAAAACCAAATGAAAACTATGAAATGGACATGCACTTACAAAGAGTTGTCAATCATTGGGATGAAATAATGATTGTCATTATATCGCTTTGCTGTCCAAGAAGCTCATTGATTTGCATTCTGGGAAATAAGCTACACATTAACCGTAATAGAAGTGATGAATTAAAGGGAACTACAACATTCCTGCAATGCATTAAATAATACAGATTTATTCTGCACGTCCAAGCATGATACTTTAATCAACCCAGGGTTTTTTCTTCTCATTTGATGTTGACAGAACATGTCGATCACTGTGCTCAAACATCACTAAGAGGAATGAGTTATTCAGATGAGCTCAGAGCCGAGAGAGAGAGAGAAAGCTGCTCAGTACAAACTGTGCGGTAGAACACTATAAGTGCCTAGCTTTAGGGTATGATTATGTCGTTATTCAGCTAGTTGGGCTAGAATCAAAGGGACTCACCCAGCCAGCAGGTATTACATTTCATCCTATGGCAGCAGCCAAGTCTCACCTTTGAAACCAGCAATCATTCATAATCTGTCATTTAAACAGAGAATGTAGAAAGCTAGCCAACTGCTTTTGATGTGTGTTCTTCTCATGTTTCGCTGATTTTGCAGCAGCAACTGGAACAAATTCAAACCTGGGAAACGTATGTAATTAGCTCATATTTTGTCTGCTAAGTACAACGTGTTAACAACTCGTGCCTCTGATCATGTAATTGGATCTGGGTTTACATTTATGTGTCAGTGTTTCCCACAGAATGTCGAGGTACCTGGGCGCTGGAGTTGGCAGGGGATTGACACACTTTGTTTTCCCCTCTAAATTAATTTAGTTTTTGCAACAAACAACCTAAATCTGCTCAATTTATCACCGTACACAGACTCAAAACTGTTGGTTTTGCTGTGCCTTATCTGTCCGAAGGAGTTGAGAAGGATTTTTTTTTTTTTTTAAACAGGAGTTTTGTTATGTTGCACGGAGCCGTAAAGTCCTTGTGCGATCTCTCTCTCTTACGCGCGCACACAGCAATTTTATGAGTAAATAAAAAAATGAAATAAAAACAAGTCGGAAATATACTTGGAGCCGTTAATATACTTAGGCGGCCCGCCCAGGTATTGTCTATGTGTGGGAAACACTGTATTTCTGTAGTTTAGTCGGTGTTGAGCGTCTCTGTTCGTTGATTCAGTCAGCGAAAAAAAGCCTGTGCATGCTCCAACACTAAAATGTGTGCACACAAACACGCTCACTACATTATTACATTTTCTTAGTTCAAACCCTAGACTGTAGGTTTAAACATAATTAAGCCTTCCTGAAGCTTTTACGATAAAATAGTTACGAGGTTAGAACATTTTCAGAGACCAATCAACTGTAATTTACACTTTTACGATCATGGTCAAAAAGCTGACCATCGTTCTCAAACCAAAAGTGGCGATCAGGGAAAGCTCCAAAAGACTTTTTAGTTGCAAGATATGCAACAATTATAAACTTAGATGTATTTTTTTAAAGTTAATGTTCCCCTTTGCTTAGATGAACTCAAATACGGACATTACTTTGTCATAATATGTTTAGTCACTAGTTTAGTCACATTAGCTCAAAGTGTAACCTCAGCGGTGTTTCATTGACAGCGTAAGCTTTTTATAATGGCCTGTGTAGGGGGAGAGAAAAGAAGAGGAGACCTTTTGTAAAGGTTTTAGTCTCCTCTTTGTTTTTTATCTTCTGAATCCTTAGAAAACGATTTGACAATATGCCTGTGACAAACACAGCAGCATGGCATGCTGCGTACAATAAGCTATCTTACAATAAGCCAATAGAGGTTTTTATCGTAAAACACACACAATGCATTTCATTTCCACAATGTCTATGAATGGGTTCGACGCTCTTATGTTGTTGTTGTTGTTGTTGTTATTGTTGTTGTATAGCATCATTGTGGGCCCATCTCAACGTAAACAAAACATCCTTCTGGGTGAAAAAGTAAACATCCTGCTTTTAAATTGTGTTCTTTTGGAATCAAAGGAGCGCAGAATAGCCAACTATTGACTCAGATAGAAAAGGTATTTTTGTATCCGACAATCTCACAATGTAGAGAGACAAAGCAAGAGCCTTAATACGACAATTCTTTCAAATGTGAATATGATAAATATGTGCCATTACTCTCGCTTTCTCTCTTTCTCCGGGAAAAAGAGCTCAGTGTTCTGTCGTTGTTGCCTTGTGTGCTGATGATACCAGCAATGGATGCTGTTGCAAAATGTCTTAATATATAAATAGTGCTGTAAAACAAAATGACAGGAATATGTATATTTTTATGTCATTAATATTACTAATCACAATATATTGCTGCTCGGTACTTGTAATTTTTTTTTCCTGCATTCAGCTGTACTGTGAGGGGAAAGGATTTATGTTTGTGATAACTGCAGATTTAATGAGAATGATTTTCTGAAAACGGGAGGCACGGGGTGGCATGATTTGGTTTCAGCTATCAGTAGCAATTCCATCCGCAACAACGTCACTCTTCTGAAACTTTTACAGTGTTTACACCCATCCAAAGATCCGCAGAAGTGCTCTGTGTGTACACATGAAGGAAGGTCAGATATTGGATAAAGCACTGTCCAGGCTCTGTTTCAGTTGTACCATTGTGATTGTGAATATGTGAAAACTGGAATATGCAATGTAATTATACTATTGAGGAAAAATGGGGAAAAAGTTAAACCCATGGACGTGTTTTTTATTTTTATTTCTAAGGTTATAGTGAGGGAAATAATTTGTGTTTGTCTGTTCATGCTAACTGTACAGGTTTTTACTTCATCGTGTTTTTTTCAAATGTTCTGTCAGTCCTCAGTGAGCTCATTCTTACAGTAGTGTGAAGGTTTGCAGCTGTAATTTCTAGCTTTTAAATGTTACAGACACTTTAGAGCAAGCACTTTGTACCCATATCGGATGTCTCAAGTAGTGTTCAGATTTTATTTTTATCTTGGGCTCAATCAAGTCGAAACTGTTGCCATAGAAACAGCATTATGTTCTGTACTCAGCACAATCGTCGCAAAATGAGGAACCGTCAATATCAATAAGCTTTTGTTCTACAGAGTTTATGTTTGTAGGATGTGTTTTACACTACCAGATTCACTAGGATGATGTACTGTAATGGAGTTTTTTTGTTTGCTATAAGATTAATGGATATAGATATAGAGTCTTTTATGAAGTCATATGGAATTATAGGCAGGAGTGAATATAGTTAAAACTGTAACTCTGAACTCTTTACAATGTTTCTGCTTTGCCATGTGAGCATTTCAATATTAAAAAAAAAGTGCATTCAAAGGGGGGCTACATATTTTTATAATGATGTCTTTTGCCCTCCTATTTCTCGATGATGTGTCGATTCCAGGCTGGATTTTGTCGCTCTTTAATGCCTGGAAGTAATTTTGAATGCTGGAATTTGTGCGCTTTGCTACTTTTTATCTTAGACAAAGAGCCAGACATTTCTCAGCTTTTTTTTTTTTTTTGGGGGGGGGCGGATAGTAGTTTAATTATGAGCTTTAGTATAGAATTTAAACCCTGGTTATTTTTTTATGGTCAAGTTCAGTGGCTCCACTCTGTAGCGCTACTCATTCATGTTATTTATTTGTCTGATCCCAGCCCTCAGATCAGCCCTCCACCTTAAATGACACCAGAAGATGAGGCAGCGTGAGTAATGTTTGCACTGGTATTCTCCACAATGTGTCATCCAGGCTCATAAAAGTAGAAATATTCCACATGTCAGAGTTGGCCACAAGTGTTAGAAAAGTGGAGCATAATTTATCAACTTGCATTGGCTTCATTAAATTAAGTGGCCTTGCTCCATTTCAGTCATATTTCCAGTAACCTCTGGACCCTGGAGCCACTGTCCTTCTGTGTTGGTTGCTGGCTCTTTTTTTTCCAAGGCCAAGAACTGTTGATTTTTAATGATTAGATATTTTCCTCTTAACCAGGTGAGCCTTTCTGGTGTTGTACGTGCGATCAAAAAGCTTTCAGCAAGTTACACAATAAATGTATATACAGCAGCTTAGTCGTCTTGTCCATCTTTTCTGTCATCAGTTGTGCTTAGAAATAAACATAACATCTTGACTGTTTATAACGCTGTTTCTACAGACGTTTGCTTATTCCAACTTTTTACACCTTAAGGAAGAATGTGCAACTTTTGATCCGGTAGATGGCGCCCTTGAGCACCAGCATGAAACCAATACAAACTGCAGTTTGGCCACAACTCCTCCCCCCGTACTGAAGCCTCCGCTCTCTCCGCGACACCACAACCCCCATTCCCTCGTGTTCATACGAAGGAGTCAAGCGTGAGGGGCAGGCAAAATTGTCCTTGGCTCGAGCTGCATTTGCCTGTGGCTTGCGTTGTTGTGCAGGCTAATGTTAGCACTCTTTAGTTTGCTTGTAGCGTCACATTGCATGTAAACGGACACGGAATGACCGTGATCTAAAAACGCTTACTTGACATTCAAATAAGCAGCGAGTATGTTCTTCTTTACTCTAGTCCTTGAATAAAACAGCTTTTATACGCAAAGGGAGGAGTCGGGCCGTCCCGTCCATGTAAACCTGATGTAAACACACAGCCAGCGGGACTCGCCGCTTCTCACTCATTGTAGACAGTCACGACTCACAGAGATATTTACAGAGGATAGACGTGATTTCTGCTATATGTAAGTGGAAAATGTCCACATCCTTCATTTAAAGCTCCACTGAGGAGTTTGTAGCTGATAATGAAACAGACTGATATCAATTAAGATGCTTCCACTTGACCTAAAAAAGCAACCCAAACCATCTTTTACATTTCACTGCACATCTGTATGAGCATGTGACAAATAAAAATCTTGAAAATCTTGAATCTGTGAGATGATTTCTTTAATTCATTTCATATGCCTGTGAGTGTGCGACTGCTGCTGTAAGGCAGGTTATGAAACAAGGGGGATAAACAACACGTTGCAGAAACAGCTTTTTCTAATGTAGTCTGTGCAATGTGATAAGAGGTACTGCTTTGTCCACAGGGGGCGCCAAAATCAACCCAATGGAAAGTTGCTCACGCGAGCTTTAAATTGGACCGAATATTGAATTCAAACCAAATGACATCGTGTTAGTGTTGCAATTATAAATTTACACTAATTAGATCCCACTTTTGAAGCTAATTTTGAATTTAGATATAATTTAAAACTTAACTTGCTCTTTATTCAATTCACAGGTGTACCGTACAAGAGTCATTAAAAGTACACAAGCAGCACATTTCACAGAAAAGGTCAGCTCACAGTGACAGAAAATGAAGTTAATTAAGAAACTGTACAACTTTCTGTGGTCTGAGAGTTCAAATGTGAATGGATCTGCGCGTCTGAGAGAGATAAAGAAGTATATTTGCAGTGGCTGCAGGGTAAAGAGTGCACACTTGTTTGTGAAGAACACAGGAACTTTGTGTGGTGTGTGAATGAGTTCACCGGTGTGTGTTTCTGTCTCTCTCTCTCTCTCTCTCACACACACTTGCTGGCTGTGAGAGAAAGCAGAGAGGAAACGGCTGCAGAAACAGTTGTGCATTGGGGAGAAAGCATATCGGACAATTAGGATAGAGCCTGTGTGTTGCTCCGCTCTGTGTGGGGCTGATTGAATCACAGACACAGCCACTCACAGCTCTTGGTCTCTGGACATTGAAGGTAATTACCCATAAGTCACTGTTCCCCTGTATTGGATCTTCAGCCCAATTACGCCCACACAAGCAGTCCACCTCTGCCTCATTTATTACCTCCGGTTGCTTGTTGACCTTTTCAGACACACAGTCAGACAGCCAATTCAGATACTTTACACCGAGCCGAGAGTGGTGCACTTTAAGTCTTGAAGACAATGTCCTGGGCTTGGAGCTGTACGTTGACATCATTATTATGTGTGAAAGAATAAAAATAGGCACATTTGTTCAAACATGCAATAAAGGCCATTCTTTATACAAGTACAAACACAAACAAAGCATCCCAGAAAAGGCATTCTTTTATATTGTTGCCTATTTTTTTGCACAAGAAGAGATGTAACGAGAAGTACAGCATAAAAACTACAACATTGCGCATTTATATATGTCACAAATACCTTTAAAGTTAAGGAAGAAAACACGTGGACTGGCTGCTCGCTCCCTGCGTCAAGACAGAGAGAGTTCATTTCATTTTAAAATGAGCAAAAGCATTTTCTGAAATGAACTTTCACCTAATATTGACATCTCTTGCAAATATTTCAGGCTGGCACCGGACATGTGATGTCAGGTTTCCCATGTGACTGCCATAACAGGAACGTTTGAACCACTGGGAAAGAAAGAGCATGAGTTTGTTCGTGTTTGATGGACTGATAAAGTAAGAAAGAAGTGGAGAAGGATGATTCATGCAAGCGATTCATTTAAAAGATCTGTAATGACACTGCTCTAAGCTCCTTCGGGTGGAGTTGTCCAAGAATGTAGTAAGCCTTCATGAGGTCAGTGAGGTGAACAAGCTCCATCAGTTAGCTGGGTGTATGGGGGGTGGTTTATCATGTGGACCTTCAACGCCATCTGCTGGTACATATTGGATAAAGCAGTCTGGTTGAACAATCAGTTTTCTGTGAATAACTTAAAGGTGCACTATGTAGATTTGGTCATGAAATTTGAAAGTTGGAGAAGTGAAAAAATTGCGATTGTTATAAATGCTATAGTTTCTGAACTAAATATACAAACTTTATTCAAAGAAAAAAATGGGTCCCTGGAACATTGTTTGGAGTTAAAAAGCTACCATGAGAGTTACGGTTTCACTGTTGAGGGCCCCCTAACCATAACTTCTAACTTAGCATTTTATCTTCAAACATAACATATATCACTTAATCTGTAAATTTCTCCAACTTTCACATTTTTCTACCAAAACTCCACAGTGCACCTTTTAAGTTTCAAAGCGGTTGTATCTACCTCAGCAAAAAGGACAACAAGCGCTGTAATGTTTGGAGTTTAACAGCAATATATAGACTCTTATGAAGTATTAATGATATAAGATAAGATCCCTTTGCTTTGTGAAGAGTCCAACTCCTCAGGCATGTAGGCTACAGGATAACTGCCAAATACCACTGGGTGACGTTTCCATCAGACACCCAAATTGCTGACGAAATGTGACAGTCATTATGTTTAAACAACCTGTCAATTTTGATGTTTTGACTTTGACAAGAACACACGTAAACTCAAAGTGTAACTCAACCATCTTTCTTTATTCAACACTCAGTTTCCATGTTTGACATCATTCACACAATACATGGTCTCTGTGCAGGCATCAGGTATTCAGGGTGACTCTCGTCTTCCCTCTGAAACCGTCATTAAGTACAGAGTGTATTCCTTCATTCTTTTATTGTTCCTCTCTCTTTTTTCCTTCAACCTTTTCCAAACAATTGAGCCTCGTATTTATTTATTTTTAAAGCAAGCTTCTCCTTTTTTTTGGAAATGTGTGCCTTTGGCAATTTACCGAATATATTTGAAAAATGCAAAAAGAAAAAGAAATAAACAGGAATGTGCAGAACTTAACGTTCATAATGTGCAGGTTTGTGAGAATGAATGAATTTACTCTTGTTATATGTGCTAAAGGACAATGATCAAATCACAATACTGTTACAAGCTTCGTTAGGTTTGCCTTTCCCTCACTCCTAAAACCTAATTCAAAGATTTGGATTGACTGTAAAAGTTTCTTCTGTTCTTCTTTCTTATTATAACTTGTGTTGCTTTTTTTTTTTCCAATAGTCTATATTCCTGTTCACTGAAATATCTTTCAATGTTTAAATGTTTATCATGTTCCTGAACCGCCCACTCCTCTCTCTCCTGCCTGACTTCATACAGACGCCACTATAGCGTAGTTTCTGCGCCTGGTTTCATTACGGATGGAGAGAGCACAATGGAGGAGGCCGTTGATGAACATGACAACCACATACACACCTGAGAAAGGAAGAGAGGGACCCAGACGAACATGCTGACAGGTGTCAAATTCAACATCAGTTCTTAAAGGGATACTTCATGCTTTGGCTCATGTGGATGAAAGACACCAAACGAGATGGTTGCTGCCTACAGGCCGGTTTTGTTTCTCAGCAGCTGCGGGGCCAGCGGCGGGGCCAGAGGCGGGGCCAGCGGCGGGGCCAGCGGCGGGGCCAGCGGCGCGGCCAGCTGCGGGGCCAGAGGCGGGGCCAGCGGCGGGGCCAGAGGCGCGGCCAGCGGCGCGGCCAGCTGCGGGGCCAGAGGCGGGGCCAGAGGCGGGGCCAGCGGCGGGGCCAGCGGCGGGGCCAGCGGCGCGGCCAGCGGCGGGGCCAGCGGCGGGGCCAGCGGCGGGGCCAGCGGCGCGGCCAGCTGCGGGGCCAGAGGCGGGGCCAGCGGCGGGGCCAGAGGCGGGGCCAGCGGCGGGGCCAGCGGCGGGGCCAGCGGCGGGGCCAGCGGCGCGGCCAGCGGCGGGGCCAGCGGCGGGGCCAGCGGCGGGGCCAGCGGCGCGGCCAGCTGCGGGGCCAGAGGCGGGGCCAGCGGCGGGGCCAGAGGCGGGGCCAGCGGCGGGGCCAGCGGCGCGGCCAGCGGCGCGGCCAGCGGCGGGGCCAGCGGCGGGGCCAGCGGCGCGGCCAGCGGCGGGGCCAGCGGCGGGGCCAGCGGCGCGGCCAGCGGCGGGGCCAGAGGCGGGGCCAGCGGCGGGGCCAGCGGCGGGGCCAGCGGCGCGGCCAGCGGCGCGGCCAGCTGCGCGGCCAGCTGCGGGGCCAGCGGCGGGGCCAGAGGCGGGGCCAGCGGCGGGGCCAGCGGCGCGGCCAGCGGCGCGGCCAGCTGCGGGGCGGCCAGCGGCGGGGCCAGAGGCGGGGCCAGAGGCGGGGCCAGCGGCGGGGCCAGCGGCGCGGCCAGCGGCGCGGCCAGCTGCGCGGCCAGCTGCGGGGCCAGCGGCGCGGCCAGCGGCGCGGCCAGCTGCGCGGCCAGCCAGCGGCGCGGCCAGCGGCGGGGCCAGAGGCGGGGCCAGCGGCGGGGCCAGCGGCGGGGCCAGCGGCGCGGCCAGCTGCGCGGCCAGCGGCGGGGCCAGCGGCGCGGCCAGCGGCGCGGCCAGCTGCGGGGCCAGCGGCGCGGCCAGCGGCGCGGCCAGCGGCGCGGCCAGCGGCGGGGCCAGCGGCGGGGCCAGCGGCGCAGCCAGCGGTTGCAGCAGCCAAGACACAAGACCGGCCTGTCGGCAGCAACCGTCTCGCCGCTGTATTTATATTTTTTTTGCCATTATCAGCTTTCTCCATAGAGCCTGTTAACATAGCCTCCAAGCAATATGTTAAATTTCAATTCTGGGAGTGAGTTCCCACCCACTGATCTGTGATTGGTCTGTAGTTTTAGTAGTCGAAAATATGAGGAACTAGCGTTGTAGGTTCACCCAGTTAACCGCAACAGCTTCCGATGACGCAAAATGACGATTTTTGCGTCACTGGAAGCTCCTTTTCAGACTTAGAAATACAAAGATTTCTCATCTCAGGGGAAAATGTAAGCGGGATGCACGACCATTCAAAAATACTACTAGGTTTCTAATGATACAAAGCTTAATGCAAAGGGGTGAAGTATCCCTTTAAGAGAACAATGTTATAATTTATAAACATTTTGCCAAATGTTATTTAAGTTGACAAGCTGCCAATAAATTATTTACTTGATGTATTCATTGCCCTGATTTTGTCTATTTGAGTGTGATGTTGGACTCCACCTGTTCATCTCTCCATGCTGTCATGGATCACCCTGTTCCTCTCTCAGGGAAATACTAGCTGGTAAAAAAGAGCGCTGGGCCCCTGGTGTTTCTGATGTCAGAGCCAGCTTACAGCTGCTCTCACGCTCAGCTCGCACCGGGGGGTCAGGCTCAGGGGGCTGACTGAGGCTGCTGTCAGTCAGCAGGAGGCGAGCGTCACTGTCAGTTCTCCTTGACAGAATTGACTAAACCGCCTGTCAGTCCGTGTCACTGTCAGGAGGCGGGTAACGCCTCGTCACAGTGTCAGAGACCGACCGGCTGCTCGCTCCCTGCATCGCCAAACAACCTGCGTCAGTGTCAGCATCAGCTGGACTTTGGAGAGGCTTCATTGTCAGAGCCTGCTGTCCACTGTCAGCTGTGCTTTGACTTTCACCTCGCATGTTCTGCTACTCAGGGCGCCACAGGGGCCGCCAGGGCGTCCTGTTGCATCTGCTGCATCTGCTGCATCTGCTGCATTTGCATTACCAGCTGCTTTAATTTCAATTGATGTTGTACTGCTACATCTTGCTCCTGCCCCTGCTGTCTAGCACCCTGATGGTCATCACCATGATGATGACCGTGGTCACAACGCCCGTGACCGTAGCCACGGGAGTGATGGTCCCCCTGTTGGCCATGACCATGGCTGTTATCATGACCACGTCCCTGGTGGTGATCCCGACCATGGCCAAAGCCATCATCACCTCCATGATGCTGACCATGGTTGTTACCACCACCGTGACCTCCATGGCTTCCATGGTGCTGACCATGGTCGTGACCATCGCCAAGACTGGAGCCATGTGGGTGAGAACCATGGTTTTCCCCTCGGTGGCCATGACCATGGTGAGCCCCATGCCCGTGATCATGATGGTGACCAGTGTCTTCCTCTCGGGGGGCGTCAGCGTCAGGCTGCACATCTGCTGTGCATTCCTCAGGTGGCTCAGTGCTCTGTGGAAAATAGAAAGCAATAGGCTTTGAACAAGCGAGCTTCATTTAAAGTATAGTGTTACACGACTTTTATTTTGAAACTTATTTTTGATTAAACAAATGTGTATTTTTTTAAGTTATGTACCATAAAGGTGCAGTTCCCACAGAGGGGTTTGCAGTAGGTATCTCTTATGGCAGTTTCCACATGCCCAAGTCCAATGATGGAATTTGGAAGTGTAATGTGGTGGGTGAGACGTCCACACCTACAGGATGGGGGATGGACAGGGATGGAATAAAAAGCATGATGAGAAAAAACAACAACAAGTGTCTGGTGTTGATTTCCCTTTTGATGACCAGGTAACTTACCTGTCATAAATGAGGAAGTCATCCTTCTCTCCACTCAGTGTCTGCCAGACATTAGGCTGCTGTTCGTCCTGCTTGTAGAGTGTGATGTTCTCTGACAGCTTCCTTGCCAGCATTGGGTGCAGGCGCTGTGCTTGCTCCCCCTGGTCGTTGATGACAATGTAGACCACATCTTTCAGACCCTGAAGATCAAGCTTTTGGCGCAGGCTTTCCAGTCTGATCACGTGAGGAAAGTCAAAGATTAAAAATCTGTTTACATGACAAAAAAACTGTACGAAAAACCTTTTGTGGATAGTCAAGTTACCCTCTTCCAACTCGGCAAGCCTTACAGCTGGGGCCATAAAATGTAATAGTACATTTTTTTTTAATTACAGTGAGTTCTGTAACATAGCCTGACCAACCAAAATGGGTGAATATCAATCCTAACTCCTGTGATGATGCAATGTAGTTAATGATTTTCTAACACATGATGGGCAAATACCTGGAAGCCTGCACCAAGCAGAACAATCAGCTGGCCTGGAAAAGGGCCACCACTGACACCCGGCCCATGGTTCCCTTCATCGGCTCCACATCCCCTATCTGCCAAGGTGGTGGCAGCTGACATTTTCGCCCGTCCCTCTCACTCTCTGCTCCGCCCCCATGGAGCAGGCAGAGAGTGAGGAGCAGGCTGAGACAAGCCCACATGCCTGCAGTGCCTCCTCACTCCCCCAATCTGTTGAAAACGGAGGGAGGAGGGGGAGAGACGGAGGTTGGAAAAGGGGCGGCCCAAAAGAGGAGAGAGGAGGGGGGGATGATCAGAGATTGATCAAATTTGGCAGACAAAACTGAGCTGGTTGTACAAAAGGTCTGAGAGGGGTTATCATTTTTGGAGTTCTACTAAACTGTGACTTGCCTAAAGTACTCTACACAAATAGAGTGAACAAAGAAGATTATTGGAAGTTTCCAAATCTGTGCGTGTGTTGCTTCACTACAAATTGAAGCTCTGAGATGCAAACTAAATATAGAAATAATAACTAAGTAGTCCAACAAGAAGCATGCTGGATTGTGAAAGCAAACATTTATGCAAAGCATCACCATCATGAGCATAACCATAACGTTTCAGCATTTCTTAAAGTTGCACATACTACATACATACATATTGTATTAATACATGCATACCCCCCATAAGCAGGATACCAAAAAAATGATTTAGAAAACCCCAGAATTTTCAGATGAACTTATCACAGTTGTTAAAGGGAACACCGATACATACATTTTGCCTCTAAGTAAACAGATAAAAGAGAGAAATCACTTACCCCTTGGTTTAAAAGTTCTGCTTCTCTCTGCTCAGCTCTGTGTTGCTTCAACTCCTTCAACAAAAACAAGTCCCTTCCTCCGCCTCGCCCCCCTTTTATACTCTGCCTGTTGTTTTTCTCTCTGGTTGGAGGACAAAGTTCAGGCTCTGTGCTGATGTCTACACATTTCTAAAAAGTCCCAGTGCAGAAGTGCTTCCCGTTGGCTGATTTCAAATCCTGTTTTTAGCAGAAAACGTTTAGTAGCAACTGGCAGTTTGACAAATTTGTTGGAGTAGAAAAAGAAAAGTGTAAGAGAAAAAGTTTCATCTTTTTTTTTTAACAGTTTGTTGAGATATGTCAGCACTAAAGAGAGTGCATGATTTTGCTTTGTAAATGACGTTGATTGCTTTTTCATTGTGGAGATTACATGTTATAAAGGTTCATTAGAAGTCACCATCAACATTGTGCAATTCTCTTTTTTGACTTTGAGCACAAAGAGGAGGAAGAGAAATAAGGACAGAGGGTGGGTCTCTGGTCAGGGTCCAAAATGTTTCTGCAGGGTTTAAACAAAGACAGTGTAATGTTCACTATGCATTTCTCAGAATGTTCTGTGTGGTTTTGTACAGGCTGATAGTAAAAGTAGGAAAATGCAACGTCCTGTGCACTGCAGGTCCTTCTTTGACATCAGGGAAGCAAAAAAAAAGAAAAAAGATCATGAATAAGTACAAAAAAGAATTTTGCTAACTCAAGCTATACTGCAACATCAATTGATGGACCTTTTACAACATAGATTTACCAAGTTAGATCTTGCATAACACTGCCTCAAAGGGACAGTAATCTTTGAGCCATAAATGGTTTTATAGTAGAGAAGTTCTAACTGGCCTTCTTATCAGGGAGGTGTTGGTGTCTGTCTGCAGACACAAGCCATGCAGGTCATCATGCAGGGCAGTAAGTTCACTGTTATAAAATAAGAGTCATAAGTCTGTTTTATAGGCTATCAAATTTCTGTCCTGTGACACTGTGGTCTAACAAAGACTAAAACACATGTAAGCTTGCACCTCTTGAGAAACCCACACATCTGCTGAGTGTACGTCATGTTAAGTACAAAATTAGTTAATCAATATGCATTCAAAATTCCAGGGTAGAGCACTACAGCTTAAAAATCTAGGGTTTAGTTACCCTTTAAGATTAAAGTTTGACAGCATTAACTCCTGCACAAACATGGCCAGGGCACTGCAAATAAACATCAAAATAGAAGCATGGTTAAATTGTAGCTCTGCAAAAAACACAGACTGTAACAAAAACACATGCACGCTGCAGTGCAACAGTTTCATTAGAAAACATGCATGAGCGTACAGAGTAAATTCAGGTATCAGTGTCTGTAAACACCATCCGAGATGTGACGCTTGTAGCACTCAGCTGATTCAGCAGAGCATGATATGTGACCTAGAGTGTCCTGTCAGGACAAGCTTTCTCTGTGACCCAGTGTTACTCATTCACAGTGTCTGACCATGTGTTATATCTTTTTTTATCAGCACACACTGACCTGCAATATCAGAAGGCATTTATCAGTAAGCTACAAGAGATCTGACTAGATAATGTTCATCTACGGTTAACTGTTCCTCACCTCATAAGTAGCACTCAATGGTGAAACAGTTGCACAATAGTTTAGAAAACTGTTGTTTTTTTAAAAAACAGTTTAAGAAACACGTTTTTCCAAAACCTGATGGCTCATGATATTCCAGCATGATTTGAGAACGTGCCAGAGAGCATCTTGTGATTTCACATAAAGCTTGGCTTCCTCAATCAGTAAGTGTCCCATAAATGTTAAATGTTTATGAGTTATGTGAGTTTTGAGGAAAAGGACAGTCAATAAGTCCTTGCAAAGGTTTGAGGTCTTGATGATGGGTTCATTTTCTTGCCCCGCTTTGATCCACAATTTATTTTGACACTAAATGTTTAGGGGCCTCTAGTTGAGAGCTGCCTTTCTTTGTCAAAAAGTGCGGCAACACTAGGCCTTTAAAAAGGGGCTGCATGGGCTGTAAATTGGATGGACACTTCTTTCATTCAATGTAACCAAACTAAAATCCTGGAAGGAAATCCTAGAAGACTTTGGACAGGTTAGAAGTAAGTACAACAAAGACTCAAATCCTCTCATTCTCAAATATGAGCATTCATTCAACATATAAAATTCAAATAGGTGAATAAAACAATGAAATAATAAAATGTCGGCTATATATCAAATGATTTCAAAGTCATATGAAATAAGTCATCAATTGACTTCAGCCTCATCTAAAAAAGAGTGGGATGTATGCAACAGACTTATTAACTCAAAAACATATAGATACTTCATTTAAGTGAAGGGTTTGAAAAACCTGCAGTGGTCTGACATCATCATCATCAAGTCAGATTCTAGCCTTGGTTTATAACAGGGTCCAATGTTAACTTAATGAGTCAGTGTAGCTGACAAGATGCTGAGGCATATTTTTTTATATACAGTGGTTATACAGTGGGCTATTGGGGCTGCAGTAGCTCAGTCTGTAGGGACTTGGGTTGGGAACCAGAGGTTCAAGTCCCAGTGCTGACCAAAATACGGAAGTTGTTCTGGTAGCTGGAGATGTCCCAGGGCACTTCCCGAGTAGGCTACTGCCGAGGTGCCCTTGAGCAAGACTGCGAATCCCCAACTGCTCTGGTGCGCTCCCTGTGAAGCAGCCCCACTCTGCATGACATCTCTCCACTAAATGCATGTCCACAGGTCCTGTTTGTGCATGTGTGTGCAAGGATTTGGGCCTTATTGTCTCTCAATAACAGTGTAATCTAGAATTTCCCATAGGGATTAATAACGTATGCCTATTTCAAAATAAATAAAGTAAAAATAAAATAAAAATAAAGTTTTTCCAAAACCTGATGGCTCATGATATTCCAGCATGATTTGATAACATGCCAGAGAGCATCTTGTGATTTCACATAAAGCTTGGCTTCCTCAATCAGTAAGTGTCCCATAAATGTTAAATGTTTGAGTTATGTGAGTTTTGAGGAGAAGGACAGTCAATAAGTCCTTGCAAAGGTTTGAGGTTTTGATGATGGGTTCATTTTCTTGCCCCGCTTTGATCCACAATTTATTTTGACACTAAATGCTTAGGGGCCTCTAGTTGAGAGCTGCTACTTGATTTAGCCTAAATATTCTTCTTACTGCCACTTAGCTTTAAAGATCTTCTCTTCTTCAACAGGGATATCCTATAAACTGATGTCCATAGGCTTCTAGAAGAAAATGTAATCTGCATTTTTGGGAGACCAATAATAATAATAATAATAATAATAATAGTAATAATAGTAATAATAATAATAATAATAATAATAATAATAATAACAATAATATAATAATGATAATAATAATAATAATAATAATAATAACAATAACAATAATAATATAATAATAATAATAATAATAATAGTAATAATAATAATAATAGTAATAATAATAGTAATAATAATAATAATAATAATAATAATAATAATAATAATAATAATAATAATAATAATAATAATAATAATAATAGTAATAATAATAATAATAATAATAATAGCCTACGTTTATTTACAAAGAAGAAGTCTAGCACAGAAACACATGGAAACACTTTCTGATCCACAGCAGTCGAGAGAAAAGAGACACTCACCGCTGTCTCTAAGCAACGCTCTATGGCGTCCCTGGCTGTGCAAGGGATTCTGGGAATCCGAGTCCTAAGGGTTGTATGACCGCCCTTTTTGGTAGCATCGAGAGTAGAACAGCAGTACATGCGTCGAGGGAGATATAATCGCGAAACAACTTTTTGAAGCAGCGTTATCAAACTCGAGGTACGTATACCGACAGTTTTTGACGTCTTTTTCGCCCCACGGTGGCTGTAATAAAGAAATCCGTCTGGGAAAAGTGTATTTTAATGCGCGGTTTGATGACGTAATGTTGATTGTCAAACGCGAAATGGCGAGCGTGCTAAGAGGCCCGTTACCCGCAACTCGCTGGGGTTGTGTTATCCTTATTGTTTACATGCTCCATCGTCGAAATGATTACGTAGGGGTATCTTTTCCTGGTAAGTTGGGCTCTAGTTACATATATCCCTCCGGTGTTTTAAATAACGTGTTGTAGTCCTGTGTCCGGGGTGAGCTCTGTATTTGGGCTAGCCGGCTAGTTGAGCTAACCTGGAAGTGGATTAGCAAAACTGTTAAACGTGAGCAACCATGCGTCTGCTCGTCTGTGAAGTCATACGTCAGTCCCGGGGGGCATGTCAGTATTTGTCCTTGAAATTTAGCAGCGTGTTATTTTGAATTACAAACACACTTAATTTGTATTTACTGGTTTAACAGGGATGTCGCTCTCTAGCGCCACCATGCTGACATCCACGTATCCACGTCGCCCTTTGCAATCCAGACAACTTCCTGTTCTTTCAAGCCAGTGTAATTTAATTTAAGAGTTGTTCACATGCAGATCAGATGTCCACATGTACCCACAATGGGGAAGTTTACATTGTGACAGCAGCAAAGAGTAAAGATTGCAGACACAAAGTGAACACAGGTTTCTTTACTATCTAAAATCTGCTGGTTGTTCCTACATTTTTAAGCTTGGTCTGCTGAGTTTTGTATTGAACACAAATACTGAATACATAATTCAGCTCACCGGGTCGCAATATTTTCAAATGTGTTGCCTTTTTAAGATAAGCACAAGTTTTTATTTACTGATGTTGTGTGTTGGATAACCTGCTGCTGTCGCGCCACAATTTCCCAGTTTGGGATCAATAAAGTTACTGTGCTGTACTCTACTACAATTCACTTAGCAGACGCTTTTATCCAAAGCGATGTACATCAGAGAGGAAGAACAACACAAGCAAGGATCTAGAAAAAAGGGAACAATGTCAGTAAGAGCAAACGATCAGCTTTGAGTCTGATTGGACAAACAGGTGCTGACAGGAAGTGACCAGAGGCAAAGCACAACATTGACAGCAGTTCTTGAGAGCTCTAATCAGTATAGAAACCGTCTTATAAGTCATCGTTATCAAACAAAAACCATCGTCACAACCATCATCATCATCAATAATATAGAGACCATCATCATTAAGTCAGTAGGTATTCATGAAAGAGCTGGGTCTTTAGCTTTTTCTTAAAGGTGCAGAGGGACTCTGCAGATCGAATGGAGTTTGGAAGTTCATTCCACCACCGGGGGGCGACAGAGGAGAAGAGTCTAGTCAGAGACTTAGGACCCTGTTGTGAAGGTTGGATCCGATGCTTTTCATTGGCAGAGCGTAGCGGGCGGGAGGGAGTGTAGACCTGGATGAGAGAGTTAAAGTAAGGAGGAGACGTTTCTGTTGCTGTTTTGTAAGCGAGCAGCAGTCTCTACTACTAGAGACTCTACTCTACTGTACTCTACTCCCTGTTTGTTTGGCTCGTTAGATTTGTAAAATACTGCATTCAGTCTGGAGTCAACTGTAAACAGACTTTTCAGTTTGGTTGTCTGTTTCTTTCTGAAAAAGTAGGACATATTATGTTAGTTTGACAAACACAAGTCTCATTTAAGGGGTCTGATTAAAGAGAATAATGCTGCAGGATAAAAATAATTTGCTTTATTTTAGAAGAGTATACGTTGTCTTGCCAAAGGACTGCTGTACTACTTGCATTTTAATGTCAGCTATGTTAGTGATGGCAGATGTGAGCGTGTGTCAAAAAAAGGCTGGTTGTCATTTTTGGCTTTTTGAGAAAGTTCTACTTTCCTGGGAGCTCTTGAGCTCTCTTAGGCTCCTCGAGATCGTTGGTTGACGGCCCGCCACAACAACAACAACAACCCCCCTCCCCACCGGATTGTTGATGGATGGCTTGCCTCCCATCACCCCTTTGCTCCCTATCCCTCTTCCTGCATCTTATCCCATCTCTCCCCCTCTCCCTTTCCAAGCCCGGCGCAATCTAGGCCTGTGAAGGCTGTTTCGTCATGAGCTGGGGATCCGGCCGGAGATTTCTGCCTTTTAATAAGGCAGTTTGGCGTGCGTGCGTGTGTGCGTGCGTGCGTGCGTGCGTGCGTGCGTGCGTGCGTGTGTGTGTCCTGGCTGTATAGGTGATAGCTTTGTTACTCCTTTCCAACCAAGGCTAAGAGTTGATGTAAAACCTAATTTCATTTTTTATCTGATCCCTGCAGAGAAAGATAAGGTGAATAATGGCGGCTGAGGTGGAGGTTGAGTCGGATGCATGCAATGAGTACCCGGCACATTACAAAGTCATGATGGACAAATTAAATGAACAACGACAGCTGGACCAGTTCACAGACATTACTCTGATTGTGGATGGTAAGTAGGCACACCTTTTTATAGGTCATGATGTTTGAGGAGAATTCCTACTTGATGATCCTTATTTCAATGTCTTTTTTTTTTTTTTTTTAATCTTCCAGGGCATCAGTTCAGAGCCCATAAAGCAGTGTTGGCAGCATGCAGTCAGTTTTTCCACAAGTTCTTCCAGGATTTTACCCAGGAGCCTCTGGTGGAGATAGAAGGTATTCTGTGTTTCCATGAAGTAAAAGAAAAAGAGGTCCTACATGTGAGAAAGATCAAATGAGCTATAAATGTATTATTTTCATAGAATTTGCAGCCACCTATGTTTTTTTCCCGTGGTTGTGACTCTTAAATCATAATAAAAATGCATATATATTTATAAAGCACTTTCAATCCAAGTGCTGGACATAAAACTGAGTTTGACATTGAGTATCTTTTACTCACTGCTGCTGCTCTGTCATACCCTCAGGAGTGAGTAATACAGCCTTTCACCAGCTGATGGAGTTCACATACACAGCTATACTAGATGTGGGTAAAAAGGAGGAGGCTGACGTGTGGAAGGCGGCTGAATACCTCCAGATGCAAGAAGCCATCAAAGCACTCAGCAATAAGTGAGACTCACATACTCTATACTGTCACAGTTCAAGAACTTAAAATTGTGTAATCAGAATTTCAATGTCATTCAGTGACCAAAAAAAAAAGAGAGGAAATATTGTTGCCTCAACAAAAACTCATCTTCTCTTTCTTGTAGGATGAATGAAGATCCCTCCCTGACAGCTAAGAGCAAAGGTAAAAAGAGGAAGATTGCTGAGACGTCAAATGTCATCACGGAAAGTCTGCCTTCAGTGGAGGGAGAACAGGTCAGTATCCTCATGGTGGTCACACAGATATATGTTTTCTAGAGGTGAAATGGATCACATCCCCCTACGGTTCGGGCCACACGTGATCCATGGATCGACCCGCTGTCTACATGACCCAATATGTTACCCCTTTTTTCATGGAGACTCTGCACAGGGACCTCGCTTGTCCCCATCAGTGCATCGACACTGGCTCTTGATCTGAAAACTGATCCGATCCGTGACAAAAGTCTGTGATCCGACCCAAAGTGTGAGGCTTAATGTGATCTGTTACACCACCACTTTGTGCTATAACTGCTTTATATGTGAAGTAAACACAAATGAACCTTTCTTTGCCCCTGCCTCAAAGTGTCGGTACTGAATATATTTACTGTCCTCCAGGTGGAGATTGAGGTGATAGGAGAAGGTGTCATCGAGGTGGAGGAGGCAGGACTGGAGGAGGTGGTTGATGCAGCAAAAAATGCTCAGGCCTCCGATGACTCTGCTTTGGCTCTTCTCGCTGACATTACCAGCAAGTATCAGCAAGGGGGATCTACAGTACATTTCATTAAAAAAGACGAAATAGATGAGGTACGATGACCTGTATTTGTGCAAAGATCTTTTTGTGGTGTGTTAATTTGTTTGACTGCACAGTTTTAAATGTGAACGCATCAACCCCGCCTTTACTGTGTGCTTCCTCATCAGGAGGTGGTGTATCAGGAGGAAACGGTGACGGCCTCTAAAGTGCTGGAGAATGTCGGTGTGGTTGAGGTTCAGATTTCCCAAGTGGACAACATGTTCCGCTGCAACAAGTGCGATCGTAGCTTTAAGTTGTACTACCACCTCAAGCAGCACTTGAAAACACATCTTGGCTCTCTGGAAAAACCCCACGTGTGCAACCATTGTGGCAAAGCTTACACGAGGGAAGGCGCCTTGAAGCAGCACATCAGCACGTTTCACTTTGATGCAGAGGAGCTGTCTCAAAACCAGAAACCGCAGAAGAAGGTGCACGTGTGTGAATACTGTAAAAAGCAATTTGACCACTTCGGCCACTTTAAGGAGCACTTGCGAAAGCACACTGGTGAGAACAGAAACATGTAGCTAGTTGTACCAGTTGAACATATGATCATGTATTGCTGACTTGTTGTTCAACATGTTTTATTGAAATCCATGTCTGGCTTTATTATGTCTTATCTGCAGGGGAAAAACCTTATGAGTGTCCAGATTGCCATGAGCGATTTGCAAGGAACAGCACATTGAAGTGCCATATGGCAGCCTGTCAGAACGGGGCCGGAGCCAAGAAAGGGCGCAAGAAACTCTATGAATGCCAGGTACAGATTGTGCAGAGTCACTGCCATTAAGCACTTTCCTACCCATGCAGTATATACCTAAAATATAAGTGATGTTTTCCAATATTCTGTGAATATGTTCATGTGTTTGCACCTCATCTAAATAATATACTTGGATAGCTTTGTGTGACAGTTTTATGTATTTATTTAAAAATAGGGACAGTGCACATCAATGAACATAAACATGTTAATGTGCCAGATTGTAGCCATAGGTTAATTTCTATCCCTGGCAGGTTGGTGGTGCACATAAATACAAATTTACATATAACCACAATGCTAAAACCAAAGAACTAGATAAACTGAACATTAGTTGACAGAGACATATACAAGCATAAGGAGTGGCTGTGCAATGTTGTACAAAACAAACCAGGTTAATAATATATATTTCTGTATTAACAGCATTTCTTTGTGTACTTGTGATCACTAATGGAGTTCAGGTGCAAGCAAGAAAAGTAATCTATAACAAGTGAAATAATTGTGCACATTTTTAAGCCATTTATGATGTCACCTAGGGCTCCAATTTTTTTGTGTTATGGACTCCTGTCCATCCAGTTTTATGAGCTTCCTGATTTATCATTTGGTCTTCCATGGGGAATCAAGTGAATCGAGTCTGCTTTTTGAGTTCATGTCCCATATCATTCAAAAGGAGAAATGCTGATAGCCCTCTCCTCCCTCCTCCTGTGTTCAGGTCTGCAGCAGTGTGTTCAACAGCTGGGACCAGTTCAAAGACCATCTCGTGAGCCACACAGGAGACAAACCCAACCACTGCACCATGTGTGACATGTGGTTCACGCACGCGAGAGAACTTAAGACTCACCTCAAAGAAGTCCATTCCATCGAGGACAGGACAAATGAAGAAGTGGTCATCACTGACTCTGCCGCCACAGCAGCCATCACCATCGCGACCCAGAGCATAGACGGAGGCGAAGCGGTGATGCTGGACGACGGCATCCAAGTGGAACACGTCACCATGGAGCCTGTCGATGTGATGGAGATGGACGAGACCACAACAGTTGTGATGGAGGACGGGGGGGTAACAGAGATGTGTGAGGAGGACGTGGAGAGACTAAAGCGGGCGGGGGTGCAGATCCAGGTAGTGCGTGTGACCACGGCCGAAGTAGACGGGCAGCAGGTGGTGAACTCTCAGGTGGAGGTAGATGTGGAGGGTGAAATGGTGAACGTGGAAGAGGCAGAACAAGCTGTGATTGTATGAGAAATTTGCAAAGACTGTCTCAAATGACACATCGGAGACTTTCAGTTCTCTTCGGACGACTTTTTTTTATTGTGAAGAACACTGCATGTGGGATAAAGCATGCCACATCAACATGTCTTATTGTCCAACATCGCGTTCAGTGACTTCATTCCCGCCACCGTAACTCTTTGAAAGCGGAGTTAAAGACAATTTTGGAAATCTACAATTTCCTACTAGCTTTCCTGTATTTATTTTTGAGCCTGTTGCCATCCAGCCACACATCCTTAGTGACTCCACTTTGCTAAATCAATCAAGTTCATATGTTTTTTGTCCGAGTTCATATTTTACCAAAACAATTGACATGAAATTAAATATTCCTGTTGCAGCTCATGAAACAGTGGATTTTTGCTAGTGCTAATGTTACATACAGTTCTGTTCATGCTTATTTTCATATTGACTTTGCTGTTTTTGTAGGAAAATCTCAGATATGGAATAAAATGTTCTCCAGAATGGGATATCTATGTTGAAGCCATCTATTGAGTACTTGATGAAATGAATTTATGGGATTATTTAAATGCTTTTGACTTCATTATACCTTCATGTCTTATCTTACAGTTGTTTATATCACTTTTTAATTTTATTTTTATTTTTATTTTTATTTTGGGCTTTTTATGACTTTATTCCTAGAGACAGGACAGTGGAAAGAGAGTGAGTGAGGAATGACATGCAGGAAAGTAGCCACAGGACAGATTTAGACCCGGGCCACCCGCTTGGAGGACTACAGCCTCCGCACATGAGACGTGCATATACCAACCACTAGGCCACCGGCACCCGCTTATGTCACTATTTTAATTAAAAACTGGATTATAACAATGCATTGTTGATGTTTCTATATGAATTATCATCCAACTTTTTTTTTCCGGTGTCCACAGATTAGTGCTTTATTTTCTAGCAGCAACTTGATGCTGTGATTCAGTCCTTTTGCGCTCATCAGCATCCTTTCTAGGTGAAGTGAAACCCTGGTGTACACTCTTTGTGAATCCAACTTTTTTGCTTAGGAAGTGAGGAGTTGGGGGAAGCCAAACCAGATCTGAAGTGAATGTCAATATTTGAATTGCATTTACCAAATATTAAGAATCAGCGCTACAAGCTGAAGTTGTTCTGTATCTGCTGGACTCTTTGTTTGCTAACAAGTTTCTCTTAGATAGCTTTGTAAGGTGAATGATTATCCTGTATGTCAATGTTGTATTCATAGCTTGTTTCTACTGCCCCCCAGTGGCTGAAAAAATGAATACAGTGAGGACTGCTGTGAGACAGGCAAATTCTCATAAAGCATTCCAAAGCTATGGATTTTAAATGATACCATTAAGAGGATTGTCTAATTGTATTGAGAGTGGAAGGGTCACTTGGGCAGAGTAATCCTCTGGGTCATAAGTGGTTCAGTTGAAGATATTTCATTCAAAAAGCCTCTTCAGCTCCACTGATCAATAAGTAATCCAAGGTATTGAAAATCTCTCAGGGTTGTTCACAAATGGATGAGTCAAGTGGATAGTTTCACTTTTTAATTGTCTCTGCAACCAATAATTAGATGAATATAGCCAATGAGAGACATGGAAGTGACTGTTTAGAGAACAACAGCTACTTAACCTGATTATAACATCTTAGATTTTTAAAGATAAATAAAAAAAACTTCACTACATGCCTATATATCCATTTTACCACACAAATACATATTTTATATTCACATTTTAAAAACAGAAAGAAAACCACTTCGGTCTTAAATGTTATCATACACTTTCTAGACATGATTCGACTACTTAACTAACACAATCAAATGATATTCAGACGGGCTGACCCATCTTTGAGACCCATTAAGGCCTCCTGCTGACCCCCTGACCCCATGTTGAACCTCTGCTGTGCGAGAAGCGTGGCCAGAGTCACCATGGTAGCTAACATAGACAGGTTTTGTTACCTGGTGCGTATGGACAGCTCCTGAGGTACTGAACCAAAGTAAAGCTGTAATCCTCTCTGCTCATTGGATAAGACACGCACGTTGTTCTCCGCAACCCGCCGCTGATTGGTCCTTTTACTTGCCCGTCAAGTGGATTTCCCTCTAAACAGCAAACTGAACCGGGGGGAGCAGCTGCTGCTGCAGCAGAACCAGTCCGCTCAATGTCACCGGGCACCGGAGAAGATGGTTCTGAAACTAGGTCCGTAAAGATTGTCGTCACGGGTTCATGAAGGCACCCAAACAAGTAAGATTCACTAATGTGTCACCTTTTTCTTCTGAGAGGATTACAATGCGAAATGCACTGGTTTATACTGAATGGCCTGCTGCGAGGGGGGGGATAACTGTTGACTGTGTTTAACAACGACTGACCGGTCACTTCATTACACTGTGAGGTTCCTTTATTCGAAAGAAAGTCTTTATTAGGAAAGCTTGTACGTTTTTGGATATAAAAAAAGAAATAATTAAACGGAGCAATTAGGCTACACCACGGAAGATCAACACCTTCTTAAACAATCTGTGGATGCAGACTTGAGATCGAGCGTCATATTGTGCTGCTTTATTCTTGTGTTTTATTTGATCACAGCTTGGAGCAGTCGTCAGGTACAGAGCATCTTCACTCAGCAGGATAACAAAACATCACTCGGCAATTACGCAAACACGTGAGGCACGCATAGGCAAATTAAGATAACAGCCTATAAGTTTGGGGATATGCCCTGACCCACTGATTAACCTTCTTTACTTGATGGAGCACACAGTAATAAAACCAGGTAAACAATGAAGGAGACGAGCACTAGCACCTGTTGCACTGGGATTGGTATCTTCCATTATGCAGTTTCCATGATAACTCAGTATGGATCAATTAAGGAAATCATGACTGATGGTTTGACAACTATCATATTTTCTTTGTATTGGATGTCTGGGAGAAGATTGCTTTAAATAAATGCAGCAATTGGATTTAAATTAAAAACAACATAAGCCTACAATGATATATAAAATTAGTCTTCAGAGAAAATAAATTTTGTGAAATTATCTGGCCTAATTTTGGAAGTGGCTATTATAAAACGCCTATTCAATAATAATTTAAAAAAAAAAAAATATATATATATATATTTTTTTAGCTGTATATGATGTTTGTTTTTGATGATAGCTGGGAGAAATTTCTGAATGACTCAGCAGCCAGATTCTGGATGTTACAGTTACCTTACATTACAGTCTTACACAGTAAGAGCAATCAAAATGACCCTTAATATGTCCGGTGCTACATGATCTATTAGTATACATTGGTCTGTTTCAATAAAAAAATCAGTTTAAGTTTTAAATAGCAAAATGAGACTACTGAATTACAAAAAATAATATTATGTCAAACCTGCCATAATCAATCTGCTCATTATTTCAACCTGGATTGGAGTCTTATTCTATTTTCATACTTTTCGAAGCAGAAATAGCTCTTTCGGGGTCTGTGTAGTCCCACCAGAAATACATTTGTTTCTGATTTTGCATTCTTTTGATGGAGAGCACTGTGCTTCTTTCTTTGATACAAACCTCTTTGAAGCACTGGCAGTGAGTAACATGGAAACTCAGTTGGCCCTTTAAAGCAGGAAGAAATCATTTAGCACAAAGATTCCGATTTGAGTCAACGGATGCTTCTTTGACAATGTCCTCTGTATTGTGTTATTGTGTTCCATGTATGCATTGTTATGGTAACTTTGTTTGGGCCTTAGAGACTCACTCTCTAGCCAGGATGTACAGGCTTAGGGAATATCACTGTGTATGTAACATGTTGTAGGATACCATTTTCATGAGACATAAGAACATACATGTCAAGCTTAATATTAATAAAGTCAGGGATGAAGCATAGTGTCCTACTGATATATAATATAATATATATATATATATATATTATACATACTGTGAGACAGACTAAATGGACAGCTGACCACCTCACAGTGCAATACAAGTATGCAATATTAACCTTAAAAAAAACTGTGTAATTATATAATGTGAAAAATATGTGTGCAATAAGAGATGTAGAAAGTAGAGAAAAGAAAACATTTATATTTTCATTTCACATTTGTACAGTGTTCCCCTTTGTTATTTTTTTGTATTATATCTTTGCTTTAATACACTGTATAGCTTCTGTACAGTTTATTTTAATTTACTTAGCTGTTATTACAACTTATTTTTTTATTTTTTATTTGTACTTTTCTACTCTTTTTTATCGTATAATGCTATTCTATTTTACATATCATTTAAACTTTTTTTGTAGAAGCTGACTCAGGGAGAAACGCACAAAAATTCCAATGTACCTGTACTGTCCTGTACCTGTGCAAATGGCAATAAACATCTATTCTATTCTATATATTCATATAATGTCCATTTGAGTTGACCAATTGCAAACTAAGCTTCTGCATTTGCATTCATCAAACTTTTTTTTTTTTTAGTTTTAAAGGTGGTGGACTGGGGGAAGGGATTTAGAGGTCAGTGTGTCTTTTGGAAATGTGGCATATTTGTCCCATAGATTCCAGTGAGGCCTGCCTGTCTGTTCCTAGGGGTGCACAGTCTTCATTGTGGCAGCTCTTTCACTGTTGAGCTCTTCATTCTTGTCAGCCGTGCATCTCAATTAACACACTGGGGAGCTTTGTGTGGAGAGAACTGTCTGTGTGTACACTCTTGTGTGCGTGTGCGCGCGTGTGTGTGTGTGTGTCTTTAAATGAGTGTATTTGTGCATGTGGCTATCTGAGGACAGGGTGTGTGTGAATGTGTATGTGTGTTGGTGTGAGTGTTGTCTTTGTGCCTGAATGCATAATGGCAGTTAAAAAGAGAGAATGGGACACATGCACATGGGAATGAGGGAAATAGTTGTGAAGCGGCAGTGAGGAAGAGAAACGGGGGATTTTTGGAGCAAAAACAGAGACTCTTAACAGATGGACGTGTCATAGCTTGTGATGTGAGGAACAGCTCCTTGTCCACAGGAACAAACAGGCGTTAAGGAAAGAGTGACTAATACTTGGACCCCAGCTGCTATGGATGGGCTCTTCTGTTTTCCGTTGTTGGAGTGAGTGAAGAGGCTGCTGATGCTGGCAGTGTGATCAGCAGCAGAGGGTGCCAGGAAAACCCTCCTCCTTGTCTTTTGGGATCCTAAGACCAATGATTGATTGTCTGGTGAGCAAGGAGCCGTTCTTGGCAAAGCAGATAACGTTTGCTGATGAAGTGCTGGCTGTGGCTCATAAACCTGCTCGTGGAAAGCAGTGTACTGGATTATTTGAGTTACTTTTTGAATGGTTCAACCAGATTACCAACTTTATCTACCCTGGGTCTCCTCCTTGGTGGACAAGCCAAGAAAAACTCCAAAAGAAGGCAAGCTTTGGGTGTACCTATCAGACACCTAAACCACCTCAATTCCCATATGAAATACCATCGCAAGGATAAAGCGTACAATGAAAAAAAGACTCCTTTTTGTTCTCTCATGACAGGTGCTAAAGCCCAGAAAACTTCATAAGTACGCTGACCGGATGCCCAACCCTCTTCAACTGTCTTGTTTTGAGAATTAAACCAACCAATGGTAAAAAAGCTTGTTTGCTGTTCTGCATCCACAGTGGAATTCCCGTTCATCTATCTGGAATCTGAGGTTTAACAATCGGTCTGGCTGCTCTTTTCAAGCATGCGCTAAAACATTTTTGCGGGAAGGCTGAGTAGCATGATACCCAACCCACAACTTCTGATCCATCCTCTTTTAAAAGTACAATCCACAAACCCTGGAGTGGTATTTTTTTCGAGCACTGTTGGGCACACATTAACTTTGAGGAGGCATTTCAGTCAAAACAGATTGCGCCTCTACCTCACAGATATTTCAGAGGTATATAGGTGAGGCTTCAAAAGAGTCTTCAGACTCTGTCTCTTCCAATTAGGATGAATGTTGGGTTCTGGGGCCCTTGAATGTCTCTTTCCTTTCCTTATGGTTTGCTAGAACTTCCTCAAGACCAACTAACCTGTCCTTCTCTAGCCTCACCAAACTAGTTTGGTTTTCTGTTCCTTCTGGTCTCCCAGTACACAGCTGCTGCTACAGGACACTCAAATAATAATGAATGGCTTATTTCCGGTTCCTGTTATGGTTCCTGAGTTTTTCACCACATCAGGCACCCCTTCTGACCCAGAACTCAACAAAGCCACCTTCGCAATAAAAGCTCTGAATGTGTATGAATATGGGCCTTCTTAGGATCTCTGTCCACCACCTCCTCGAGCCTGCATAACCCCAGCAAAGGACTGTAGTTCCAGATGAACTGCTTCACAAAGACTGGAACCCAACTATATCTAGTTAGCAGCGTCATATACTCTGATACTACCTCTGGTTCCCTCCTCGTGGAAGTGTGTCTCTTAATGTCCTCAGAAACCATTACGGAAATCCAGCCTATAGGTCCTTGCCTTGACCTCCAGCAAGCCTGACAATGCATCAGGCCCAAATGGAGGTTAGGGGGCCTATAGCAGCAGGTGAGTGTAGGCTTTTAGGTAGGGTGCTGGGCCTGATCTACATGCTTGTTGGTGAGTTTTCCTCCCAGGTCCCAGAAGCCAGAAATAAAATTGAAAATGTTGTCAATTTCGACAATTGTAACTGTAATCTTTGCCCCCGTCTCTTGATATGTAACCATTGTAGTGACTAAACGTGCATCGCAAGTTGACTCTAGCTTTAAGTCACAATCAGACAAATGTGAGTTAGACTGCGTATCTGTGCGGTTTCTGATTGTTTCCCAGGTGCTTTGTTTGGCTCTGTTTTTGATGTGTGTCACTGTCTGTGTGTAATGGGTCCAACATTCTTCTCACGTGCTTGATTAATCGGGGTACTACTCTGAGGCTCAATCCTGCGTGGTATAAGCACAACTAGCCCAAGTTAATGCCTAATCCTCTGGATGAAAAAAAAGGTAAACAAACATGCTCAGTCAGCGCTCATCGCCAAGCAACCAGCAGGTAGACAGCCGTTCACTGCATCTGTTAATGCAAAGCACAAAGCAATCTTAGTGACTCCTACTATATTCAAAGACATGTTAGTAAATCCTCATCCAGTAAATCTTTTTAAATACAATATCGTGATGGTCATCTTGTCCCTTAACTCTCTCACCATCGATGTGTTTAACCTCGTGCACAGTTGTCCATGTAGTCTTTTTGTTTATATACATAAAAGGCTGGTATTGAGGCCGTGTCGCTTTGTACTGCAAAGTGGAGGCCTCTCCTCTCTTAGCAAGTCCTTTTAGGCAGCCCGAGATCAATGCCTAGATATTCATGGCATGATGGCAGGGATGTGTTTGAAGGCTGGGAGACTGTAAACCGCACAAAAGAGAGCTGCTTTGATTTCCTGGCCATGCTTGAACATAGATTCATTTATCTTAATATAGAGACAGATGAGAGAACACTTTCCAAAGCACCATGTTACTCCTGGTTATACAATTCTTCTTACACACACACACACACACACACACACACAGTCAGCACATAACTAATTACAACTAAACTAAAACTAAATGAAGGAAAACTGGATCATAAATTATGATAAACTATCACAACAAAATCCAGATTTGAGGAGGACTTTATGACCTATACTGCAGCCAGTCAGTAGGGGGAGCGCCAAATGTTATGGCTTCACTTCTTGCGGCTGATTGTTGTCCATGTTTTTTATAACAGTATAGAGGAACAGAATCCAGTGCTATGGTGTGGCTCATTTCTGAATTTTAAGACAACAATGCAGGAAAACTCCTTTTCAGGCTTTTGGAGTTCTTGTTGATTGGAATTATTGTTATTCATTGGAAAGACTAAATATTGGGAGTGCTGTCTGTTGAAGCTTGGGTTAGGTATATCTTTGTATTCTCAGTGGTATTTTTACAAGGTTATTTAACTCAGATGTTCGGTTCAGTGTTTAAAACCTGAAGCTGCGGGGTATACCGGTTCAGCTCAGTTGGTTGAGCCACTTGAACACACTGATCGCTGGTTCAACTCCTGCCTGTGACCATTTGGTGCATGTCACCCCCCCCCCCCCCACTGTCACTCCCCATATTTCCTGTCTCTCTTCAGCTCTCCCTGTCCAGTAAAGGCAAAAAACGAAATCATTTCAACGGCTGGTTGAGAGCCGTGCAGAGTATCCTTTTTTACACTACTACAAGGAACTAGTGGAGAAAATAATTCGGCTAAATCCAGTTGTATTTGGAATACTTGCACAACTAGTAAAACTGTCTGTTTGTGGCAAGTTAAGTATTGTGGTGATAAAGGTTAAATGAGTAAATAGAGACTGCAATTCTTGTATTTTACTTGGCTGGTTAAATTGTCTTTATAGAAAACATATTACTCTGTAAAGTCAGGGCTCAACTTCACTTTTGATTAAATATTTTTTCCTTTACCACTCGTGGGACATTGTTAGAGGTTAGTTTTTGGAGTAATTATCACCTCATTACAAATTATTAACACACGCACGCATGCACACACACACAGACACACACACACACACACACACATTCTCAGGGGACTGACAGTTTTACCTCATACTACTCATCAGAAATAAAAACTAGGCAGGTTTTGAGGATCTTCTTGGTGGTATAAAGTGATGAGGAACCTCTTGGATTTGTTTTAATTTCGCTCTTACAGTATAGTAACGTCAGCTTGCATTGCCATGGGAGCAGGACTCAAGCTCTAAATTAAGTTAGGATTACAACAGGCATTAATGGACATCCCATCCGACCCTGCAGAGTTGCGTTGATGAGATGTGCACATAATCCCTTTCACCTGCCATAGATGCTTGGCTGCTGCATTTAATTAATAAATAAATAAGAACACTTTTAAGGAATAAGAAAGTAATAAGAGAGGAATGAAAGGGAGGGCTGCAGTACCACCACATTTTTAAAAAAGTGGCGTTAATGCTTTGTCTCTCTCATGTGTTTTGTTCCAGGTTGTCTCACTCAATGCCCTGAGGCAGTACTCTGACAATATCATCTGTTCAACCCCTCCATCCAGCGCCTCTTCCCTCCTCTTCCTCCTCCTCCTCAACCTGTGGCCTATTTATACCCCGGAGACTCAGAATAGCCTATCAAAGCTCAGCAGACCTCTTCAGCAAAGAGACAACAGTGAGCATGAACCCGATAACATATGGTCGATTTGATCTCACCAGCATCATTACCTTTCCTCCGGCAGCTTTTAAATAAGAAAGGCTAAGGCTTCTACCACTGGGAATTCTTGAAATGAAACAAGGCTACAGATGTGTTCAGGTTCAGTTCAGAGATTGCAGCTGATAATCCATGTGTGAAGGACGGTTTGCAAGTGCAGCAGATTGTAGAAATATTGGATGCAGCCTTTGCTTGGATCCACACTCTGTAGATTCTGGCCTTTTCTGTTGAAGTACAGGAAAACACTATTGACTCAGCTGTCCAAGCATCTATGAGATTCCTGCAAGGACACTGAAAATTTTTACCTCTTAGATGGCTTACACATTCGAAGGTAAGCTCTGGCTTTTGATCTGCGTGAATGTATCAGTGAATGTAACAGTGACTCATTTTTCTGCATTTCAGACAGTACAGTACATTTATGGACGTTGAATGTTCTGCTGCTAGCTGCAAAATTCCAATTTTCATTCACATGGATTGTTTGGTCTGTGTGTGTGTTGGCATAATACTGTAGGATGTTATACTCCATACAAAATTACGTAAGAATTCTTGAAAATTTTATAGAAAATATTTCTCCCACAATGAAGTGCATATGCTACAGATTCCAAGCATTGTTAATTTGTTACGATTGGACAAGAAAAACATCATTTAAAATTGTATGCATTCAAATTCTGCAATAAAAACATCTAAAAAAAAAAAAAAAGCATTTGCACCTTTGCTATCATGCAGATAGATAGATAGATTTAAAAAGTCACTGATGCACCATCATTCAAGCCGCAATCAATCTTAACAAACAAATGAGCAAGAATAATAAATATGTTTTTTCTTATGACGCATCCAGTCCGCCATCAACTCCAGCCATGAGCTAAGCCCACACCACCCTGGGCGTCCCTAGCAGGATGACTGCTGTCTACCCCTCAGAGAGCAACCCAGAGGGGGCTGAAGCTGGGGCCGGGACAGCAGGCTCCAAGGGGTCGGGTGCAGCAGGAAACTCCAGGAGCATCTCAGTGTCCGGGGCCGAGACCTCTAACGGGTCTAATGGAGACTCTAGCAGAAGTTCAATCAAAGGCACAGCTGTGGTCCAAAGGTACTCTCGCTGGAGCCGCCAGGACAGCTCGGACATCAACACAGACGATGAGGGAGCCACCATCCGCCGCCTCACCCCACTGGAGAGACTCAACCTGGATATGTGCCAGGATGACAGGTAGGTACTTAGAAGTGCGATATTTTAAGAATAATGTAGGATCGAAGAAAATCATTTTGTGGTCTCATCAGGATGTCACATTTTTTCAATCCACTGTGGTGTTTTAGCTTCTGCTATGTGTTCTGGTCACAGGGTGGTCCGTGAGCTGACTATTGGCAGAAGAATCGGCTTCTACAAAATTCGAGGAGAGATCGGATGTGGGAATTTCTCCCATGTCAAGCTTGGAATCCATGCGCTCACCAAAGGTAAGATACCACATAGTAGCAGCGACAGGCAGCTTGTTTTTGATAGTTTGTATTTATTTTTGCATAAAAACTTTAGACAAAACTAGAAATCACCATGTGCATATTCACATACATGCACTTACAGGATGTAGGCACATATATACAAAACCTTTATTCAGCTTTCAAAAAATTGCTTTCAAAAACAGGAGTACAGATCCATCGAGGTATGGCAATCAAACTGACTTGAAATATGTTTTTCAGTTATTTGAGGTGGACACTTAGCTGGTGGCCTTCTAAAATGTCCATCATTATGATTAAAATCACACACAAAGCTCCTATTTGCTCTTTGCTTTGAGATTGAAGTGATAATTTGAGCTGATTTGCTTGTTTCCATCAGTTAGCTGCTATACTAACAACTGTGTCCTTATGAAGCAATTCACTAAAAAGGCGATGTGTGCGCCCGGCCACGGGGCTGATTCAGCCACAAAGAGACAGACTGTTTGCTGCCCTTGAACAGATGGATTGATTAGAGATCTCCAGTTTCCTTAGCGACGGCTAAAATTGCTGCATGCCTCATCAAAGGCTAAAGAGAGGCAGTAAAATTACTGTGTAGCTCAGTGTGTGTGTGTGTGTGTGTCTGTGTGTGTGTTAGTGCATGCTTAATGATTTTAGGGTTATATGTATTTCACTGTCTATGCCTTACTGTGTGTGTGTGTGTGTGTGTGTCTGTGTCTGTGTCTGTGTGTGCATATAGTTGGTATCATTTAGTCCTACAAAAACAATATGAGCTGTGATGCATTTCGAATGCTCCCTTTGAGAGCTGCATGGGAGTCTAATACCAGTCTGAATAATGCATACTGATGCACAATAAGATATCTCAACACCATTTTGCCTCTTAAGAACTTTTCTGTATTCAGTTACCTGAGGTCTATTTTCTTCTCCTTATGAATCATTCAACAGAATACAGTACAAATATCAGTTGTTTGAATTTGATATACTGGCAGCATGAAGGCATATGTTTTCCATGTGCTCTACAGTATATATGTCCTCTGAAACATTTCAAAGGCGGTAAATTCAACAGAGTCCAGGAAAATGTAGCTAGCTCAGTACTTTGTCAAGTTTATACTTGATACTCCATTTTAACTAAGAGCTGAAGTCACTGCAGTACAATATAGATAATGTATAAAGGGCAACTTTTCTTGATTGTCAAAGACATGGCTAAACGTAAGTATCGACCCCCTAGGAGAACATAATCAGGAAAATTGAGGACAGCTAATCCTGCAGCAGATTATCTGGAGCACAGTGTGAGGTTTGGTCTCTTCAGGATCAACTCTGTGTTTGCTAGGTGCAAACAGCGTCAGATTTTCTATCATAGATCTGCACAACATAACATTTTTGCGACATATCTGGGCCGCCCGGGTGACCCGAAACACATTGTGACCCCGGGATACATCACTGATGCTGTGTCTGAACACATCATAAGATGAATGTTGCAAACTAACAGCTGTCAGATAAGTAATGGTATCAACAGTTTATGTTTACCCTAATAAAGTTTCTATTTGAATGAATGATAGAACTTCTCTTTAAAGTTCAAATGAGTCATTTGTAAATGATAATTAAAACTTGACCTTCTCCATTAACATCCCCAGATAAAGTGGCTATCAAGATCCTGGATAAAACCAAGCTGGATCAGAAGACCCAGAGGCTGCTGTCCAGAGAGATCTCCAGCATGGAGAAGCTACACCATCCCAACATTATACGCCTCTATGAGGTTTGAATCATATAGGTTTTCGTTTTGCTGATGATTGATGGTTTACTTTGTCTGGTCTTACGGGTCTTTTTCAATAATCCTCCTCCCTCAACCTCTTTAATGCTGATTAGTAATAAACTAAGATGCCTGACAGACTTTTGTTCTGTTTTTTTTCTTTTCTAGGTTGTGGAGACGTTGTCACGGTTACACCTGGTGATGGAGTATGCAGGGGGAGGGGAGCTCTACACCAAGATTACTACTCAGGGGAAACTCTCCGACACAGAGAGCAAGATCGTCTTCGCTCAGATCCTCTCTGCTGTTAAACACATGGTCAGTTCATATATGTTTAAACTGAAGTACTATAGTTCTGTAAGATTTACAAAAAGGACACTTCAAAGTCAACCTGCTACTTCATCCTGCATATAGAACTTTATCACACATATCATTGTTTTGAATGGGGGGGGATCCTATTATTTATAAATCACGTGTACCATGTATTTTTTTGGTTTAGTCTTGATGTATGCAAAAAACCATTGTGCCATTGTTGGAGTTATAATCTCTTAAACATTTTTAATCATGATTTGCAGCGTAGAATTATGGCCCCTACATGATGCTTTTTTTCTTTTCCTTCCACAGCATGAAAACAACATCATCCACCGGGACCTGAAGGCAGAAAACGTCTTCTACACCAGCAGCTCATGTGTCAAAGTGGGGGATTTTGGCTTCAGCACTCTGAGCCGCCGTAGTGAGACACTCAACACGTTCTGCGGCTCTCCGCCATACGCCGCGCCTGAGCTCTTCAGGGATGAGCATTACGTTGGCATCTTTGTGGACATCTGGGCCCTGGGGGTGATGCTGTTCTTCATGGTGACATGCACGATGCCATTCAGGGCCGAGACCGTGGCTAAACTGAAGCGCTGCATCCTGGATGGGGCCTACATCCTGCCCTCGTGGGTGCCAGAGCCATGCCAGAGGCTGATCAGGGGAGTCCTCCAACCCATACCGTCTGACCGCTGCACAGTCGAGCAGATGATGGGCTGTGAGTGGATGCTCCCTGTGGATTTCCCGCAGGCCATGGAGCCCTTTAAACTAGACCCGTCCTACCTGGCAGAGAGTGAACCATCTGAACTGGAGGAGGAGGAGATGGAGGTAAAGACAGCACTGGAGACACTAGGAATCTCCTCAGAACACATCCTCAACAACCAGGGGAAAGATTGTCGGAGCTCCATTACAGGGGTGTACAGGATCCTGCTACACCGTTCTCATAAGAGGCGGGCTGTTGAGAGATTGCCTGTGGTCAAACAGGCAGTAGGACAAACTACAGCCAGTAAAAAGGAAAGAATAAAAGTTTACCGTAGTTTAAGGCACACATCTAAACTCTGTGTGGTTCTGTGACAAAATGCTCTCCATTGCTCTGGACATAACTAAATGGTCTTTGATGAGATTGCATGAATTTATTTAAAAAATTAAGCAGTGCTTTATAGCCAGCAGTTACAATCAGAAATATATTATATAACCCCTTGAAGCTCCTGAAATCTGAGATTTCTTTCTTTAGTATTTTTTCTCTGAAGTAAAATTAGTCTCTGTGAGAATGTTGCTGCTAGTAAAACATTATTGTCACCTTTTTCACAAGGCCAGCAAATCATAGTCCTAAGTAATGATGATTGAATGGCATACATAACTTTTTATGTGGACCATGCAGGCCAGATAGTTTTAGCCTTTATCCATCCTGCTTGAACACCAGTAAAACCATCTGGGGAATCAATGTAGCATATATTTTAAGGAAAAGAGAAATCAAAAACATGCCGAGGTGATGAACTGGTGAACATGCGGACAATACATTTAACGTGGTGTGTTTAATGTTTACTTTAACTTTTATTTGATGCCTTTTTTCTTTTACTGTATGGAATCAGACATACATGGTTTCAGTGTACTCCTTAATGTTTGTATTGAGAGATTTCAAATCTTACCTTCTTATGCGGTGTATCTCTATGAGATGTTACACAAAGTGAGCTATGTAAGAGAGCTGAGTGACCTTGCTCATTTGTCCCTGTGGGCTGAAAAAGCTAGTAAACAACATTAAGCTAGGAATACCATCCACCAAAGTTTTAAGTTCTTTTTGTGACAAAATCTAAATTTTGTTTGACTCAGGCAATTTCTGAATGATTTTATGGTAATAAGATGTTTTATTTTCTAATGCCATATTTATGCTCATATGATGATTAAAATAATTTTAAATGCATTGGTCTAGTTCTTTAAATCATTTTAAAATGCTGTAATGCTGTTTTTTGATACTTTGCTTTAAAACGTTATTTTGATAACTTTCCAGCGTGCCTTACAACCTGTAATAGTTTTCCATTCATTTATTTTTCGATTAGCTGTATTTCACCACTCGCATGTACAGAGTGCGCATCGTACTACACTTCCCAGAAGCACCCAAGAGGACCACGTACTCATTTCCGCCTTTACGTGATGACGCATTTTTTGCCTTGTTGGAAGGTGGTTTCACTAGGAAGCAGTCTGACGTGAGACGATAGCGGCGAAGAAACGCTGAGTACAGAAACCTAAAGACAACCGGACGAATTCACTCTGATGGTATTTTGTCTCCTGTCAACGAACGGTAAGAAAAATATGAAGTAACATTTAACTGTATTTGACGTTTTGAGAGTGTTTTATAGCACGAGGGACCACGCCCTCTCGGTGTTTTAAAGTCATTATGGGATTAAACATGATAGCTGTCTGGTTGGTTTTTGGCCTAAAGCACCCCCCCTATTTTCTGTTATTGGATACATACAATGCAATATTTTTCAACTTGTAAAAATCAAAAGCCGATGCACTATATTGCTCGTATGCTTTCATTGCTAAACAACTAGATCATTATAGGTTTTAATGACAATGCTGCAAAATAATGCTCTCATTTTGTAAGATATTTAAGACTCTATAAATATTTATGTCTTTTTTTTTTAACTCGGCACACAGTGCAATTTCTAAATGTGCTTTGCCGAAATCAACCATTCCTCCACTGTGCACCTTCTATTTGTTTTGACATCTGATATTGTATTTGGATCTCCTGACAAAGGAATGTGGGGGCGGGGCTCATTTGAAGATGATGTCATCGTGGGAGCGTGGATATGATGCAAGATGAAGCTGTTTACACTTCTGTACACGTGTCATTAACCCGTTGTCGTGCATGCGAGGACATGATTTAATGTCATCAATCTGGAAATGTTTAGATTCAAATTGGTACCCACATGTTCGTGCAGCCTCCACGTGGAGGTGTGCACGAGAACTACAACACAAAACCCAAACAAACAGGCCATCTCTCAGTTTAGAGTATGAGATACAATTCGTCACACAAGCATCACTAACACGTTCTGATATTGATAAGGAAATTCATACATTTTGTATTAAATCTAAATGATCCCATTTTTGACATATTATAAAAAAAAAAAAAAATTGCCTCTGTGTTGGAAGATTTGTTAACAACAAGGTCAAGGTCTTAAACTAACAGTTATTTCAGTCTTATTCATAACGTAAAGTGATGTCTTCAAACAGCAGTGCCCGTCCAATCAACAGTCTGAAATCAAAATACCGGTATATTTTAGAATATAATATGTAAGAACAATAGGGCATTGTCTATGTATACTTTTTAAACTTAATTTTGCACTTTTACACAAGGTGGCACATTTAATAAAAGTAAACTCACTTAAAACAAAACATATACATTCCTACATACATACATAAATAATGAAAACAGAATTAAAAAACAAAACACAATAGAGCTAGAGAAAGTTCTAAGGCAAGTATATGAGCATATACAATTTTAAAAGACAGTAAATGGCACTTCTGCTACATTCTAAATGTCCAGGAATAAATATGTTACAGCTAAAAGAACGAACAAGAGTTAAAAAATGTTAGACTTACGTTATATTAGAAGGTGGATTTATCCTAAAACATCACTTTAAGTGACTGACTATATTTGCTTTAGCTCTGACTCAACATGTGTTAAGAGGATTACTGCTGAATGCTTCAGCTGTAACTGGACAGCGATGATTGGCTGAATTGTCATTCAATCTGACTTGACCTATAGGTATTTGATTCTGAATCAATACATCTTGGATATCAATATTCACAAAAATCAGCAGTAAACAGTACAACGAATGTCTTGTCTGGTTTCTTGCTAGTTTCAATGTCATACTAAAAAATATAATATATGCCATTGTTTATAAATATTGAACATAATCTCAAATGGTGTGGTCTTTAATACCATGTGTTGCTGCAGATGTCAGTCACTGAGGACCTACCAGACATGGATGGAGCAGACCTGTTAGGGCTTCTGCTCCACAACCGAGAGGACGGATCTACTGAGCCTCTCTTTCCTGATGAGACTGGACTCATTGAATCCTGGCTGTCTGAACAAGATGTAAGACACAGAAAAAAAAGACACATTTAGGATATAGTTGATCAAATCACTTACAAAATAAAAAAAACGTGTAAGATTTTGGAGTGTAACAAAGTTTCTTGTCCCATCTAGATGTTGACAGGTATGGACACTGAAGACTTTCTGTCCAGCTTGTTGGAGGGAGAGGACAACGTGGGGGATTTCTGTCCCTCTCACTCTCCCTTAGGCAGCGACAGCGGGATTTCCGATGACAGCAGCACCGGAGTTGGAAACAACAACCGTCTGGGATGCCCCAGTCCCCAGGGTAGCGACAGTGATGTTGTGCCCAGTCCCAGCTACTCCCAGCCCAGCCCTGTGCCCTCTGACCCTGCCCTGACCCCTGCAGATCAGCAGACAGAGAGCCCTGAGGCCTTAACAGTCCGGGAAGACCACAGCTACTCTATGCTGCAGAGCGGGGACAGGGACGTGGATATGGATATGGACATACTGCAGAGTGTGAGGGCGGAGAAGCCTGACACAGATGTCTTCATTGATCTAGGTATGTGGAGTGTGAGGAAACTTCTCATTTCATTCAGAAGCCTTAGAGCCTAGCCTAAATTGGACAGTTCAATAAATCAAAAAAAAAACATGTATTTTGAGCACATTTTACACCTAATTTTAGGTTAATTGAACTTTCATTCCCCTTGTTTCAGATGACTATGTGAGTGAGGTGATGGAGGAGGACCTCATGAGCGAGCTTCCCTGCACTCTCGCCATCGAGGACTCAACTCAAGATTCAACTGAGCCAAACACAGAAGACCAGGTCAGTTTTCCCTGATTTGACTCTTTTCTTTTCTTTTCTAAGGTCAAATCAAAGAAGATGAACCGAGTTTTACTTTGATAAATCGTACAGCGTGTGACACAGTTGGCACTTGCTTCATCGCATGTTTCATAACAATACAATGTTTTACTGAGCAACTAAAAATCTAACGGGTGAAAATCTGTGCCTTTTTGTTTCCTTCAGTTCCAGTTCAAAGACATCGTGCTCACTGAGGAGGAGAAGCGGCTTTTGTCCAAAGAAGGACTAACTATTCCCACACACATGCCTCTCACAAAGGTAATCCAAGTCAAAGAGGTTTCCAAACTTGATCATCATGTCCTTTTTGTATTACTGACTGATCTTGAAACCTGCTAGCAGAAGCACTTCTACAAAAAGCTGTAAATGTTAATATCCAGTAACACAGTTTAAAAGAACTCTTATCAGTCATGTTGTACTTTTTGATAGCTCTTTGATTCTTTTGCTCTCAAACTTTTGGCTGGATAAATGTTCAAAACGGATCCTCTCTTGGGTTTTTCACGCCACAGCTGTTCAAGGCGGTTGTATTCATGTTGTTATTTTTTCATGCATACATTGTGTTTGAAAGCCTCTGGTCTCTGTGTGCAGGCAGAGGAAAGGACCCTGAAGAGGATCAGGAGGAAGATCCGCAACAAGCAGTCAGCTCAGGAGAGCCGCAAGAAGAAGAAGGTGTATGTGGACGGACTGGAAAACAGGTGAGAAGAAGAGGCTAAATTCTATCGCTACTTAAAAGTAGAGTTACTCCCTTCTCTCCTCATGAAATGGTTGATCAGTTCAGACTAATGTGACAGCAGCTGTTTCAGAATATCTTCCTGTCTAAATATCTAGATTGAGTTGTTCTAGCTCAACCCTTCATTCTGATGTATCCATGATACCGTGACATTTTGGATATCTGTCGGCAATTAGATAAAAACGATTTTTGCGTCCTCCGGGTTAGCATTATGGGCTGCAAAAACATAGTGAGAAAAAAATCTTCTTTTTGAAATGTCTGAAAACTTTCCCCACAGCCTCATCTAAAGTGACATCTTTAAAATGATTTTTTTAGTCCGACCCCTCCACAACTCTTAAGAGACAACATTTACTATCATTTATCAAAAAGTCAAATTATAAAATCTAATCCATGATCAGCTTTGCTCTTTCTGAAGACATAATGAATATTCAGATAAAAGGTAAAAAACTAGAAAATTGATGCACAGAAAGGAGTGGGGCGGCAGTAGCTCAGTCTGTAGGGACCTGGGTTCAAGTCCTGGTGTGGACCAAAGTATGGAAGCTGGTCTAGTTGCTGGAGAGGTGCCGGGTCACATCCTGAGAATTGCCTAGGTGTCCTTGAGCAAGGCATCGGACCCCCAACAGCTCTGACGCTCTCCCTGTGTAGCAGCCCCCTCACTCTGACATCTCTCCACTAATGCATGTCCACAGGTCCTGTTTGAGCATGTACAGTATGTCAAACCAGAAAGTTCCCTCTGGGGATAATAAATGATGTAGCGTTCATAAAAATACATGTATAGGGGGATTTATGTAATCTGTCAAGTTCATGTTGAAGAGAGGACCACAGTGTCTACCTAGTTCACAGTCAATAGTTACTCTAGCAGTAATTCATTGTATGTGTATATCATAAAACCTTCTATTCCTTTATGTATGTTTGGATAAATATCCTAAGAACTGAATCAATGTCCAAAACAGGGTTGCCATCTGTACTGCACACAACCTGGAACTCCAGAAGAAAGTCCAAATGCTTCAGAAACAGAACATGTAAGAGAACTAAGATTTTGTTTTCCCCCCCTCATCAAAATGTTTTCATATTTACATGCTAGTGTTCATGTTTTAATCGTGTCCTCTTCATTCTTACAGCTCCTTGATAGAGCAGCTGAGGAAACTACAGGGAATAGTGAAGATGTCGACCATGAAGGCCAGCACAACCAGCACCTGTGTCATGGTACATTCATTGACTTTACCGGTTTTCTTTACTGATCTCACAGCAAGTGTTACATCATTTGTTCCTTGGTGCTTGAATGTCTTCGTCACTCTCTCGTCCTTGGGCTTGTCCTCCAGGTGTTCCTGCTCTCTTTCTGTCTCATCATCTTCCCGTCAGTCAATCCATTTGGTGGAAAAACAGAACAGAAGGAACTGTACACACCCTCTTCCAGTAAGTTGCCTCGAAACAAAGAAATAACTTTGGCCTTCTGTTGTACTTTCACTTTCGTAGTCTTGCCATTTTTAAAAGTTTTTGGATTTGTCATTTAGAAACTATCAGTATTCAGTGATTCCTAGAGAACTGAATCATTTCTCTCAAATGTTTTTTTAATTAAATGCCTCCCCTGCCTGCTGACAGGCAATTCTTTTTCAACAATGTGGCTTTGTTTGCTCAGCTTTGTTTACCCTGTTTGTTCCTTTATTGCAGTCATCTCCCGGACCTTGCGCTCAATTCCACAGGAAAACACAGATGTCACATACTACACGAAGCTGGACGAAGAAAAAGAAAAGCTCCTCCTGATGCCCACAGCCGAGGTGGAGAACCATCAAGCCATCTTCGCCGGCGGTCAAAATAATCACACCCCTGACTACCAGAGGATGGAGAAGCCAGACTCTGAATCTGGAGTCAACAGCAACTCGTCTGCAGACTTCCCTGGTCCGGCTCAGGCTGCAGATATGACATCGCCAGGAGTCGGGACCTTACAGGAAGGATCCATTGATGCCTCTGTGAAATCAGCTGTGGCATATGAGGTCACAGGATCCAAGGATAACTGGATAGAACAGAACCCCCCGTCTGTTATATTACCGCAGCACCGCTCAGATGAGATGTAGTAGGGAGATGTGGGTACATATTACCAGCAGAGGGAGCCATATTTATGATTCTTAGCAGAGGGACACTTAAGCTTTTTGAAGGGATAAGGTAAAATAATAGTTCTAATCAAGATATATGATCAGTCTCTGTCCCTACGATTCCCCTTTAACAGCCCTCGGATGTACTACTGTTACTTAATGTGCACTTTTTTTTCGGATTTCTTGCTCCAAAAAGACAAAAAGAACGTGAAGAGAGATGTTTATATTTCAGCAGCGTAAATGCTGCAATTATAAAACACAGGCAGGAGGCCAGATGCTGTGCGGATAGCACTGAGGGCTCCAAAATAATTGTACAATGCGGTGCTGCGGCCAAAAATCCTAAATATGTTGAAAACGCCATCAAAAAATGATGTAGAGATGCAGTAGGTTACTTCAAGAGAAGTATTAACTATTATTTATTACCAAATCTTACAGAGAGCTTTGTTTGATTCTCATTAGTCTGGTCAGCTCCAGCAGATCCAGGTGTTAAACTGCTCATGAACGAATCTCAGAGTAAATGATTGTGAATCAAGCCGTCCGACAGTTGCCAGAACTCCATTTATAGTAGGAGATTAGCTGCTTGCCTCTCATAATGCTTGATCAAAGTGGTTGTTTGACCACCGTAACGCTTAAGCCATTGCAGGACATTTGGCCATTTAGAAGACTTGTAAAGTTCTTTTTTTTTAGTATTTCCCTTGTAACAAGGGTATCCATGCTCTTTTTAAATTTGGGAATGCTCTTGTTTTATGTTGTACAGCAGCGCACAAAGAAGAAACTGCTTAATAAACAAGACCCTGATCGGTCAACATTGTTAGTGAACCCCAGCCCACATCCACAGTCTCCTCTTTTCCATCCTCATGGGACAGTTCTTACCTCTGTAAACATGCCTGAAATAACTGAATAAGGGGTCTCATATATTTGCTCGGAAAGTAAATTTTGCAGTAAACTGTACTTAAAAATGTAATGACCTGTTGCCAGTGATGCATTTTCGTTGTTCCTTTGTGTTTTTCTTACATTATTGTTATTAATGGAATCTAAATGGTATTGAACTGCTTTTTGTCATTAGACAGTCAATGAGATTTTAAATGTTGATCATGTTGAACAAATGCACTGACATTTGACATAGTGTAAGAAGGGAATGTAAATATGCGTATATATGATTTTAGCTCTTCTGTACATTTGAACTCTAATGTTTAAGAATTCATGTCAGGACATCTATAATAATAAAACTTTTTATAAATCACAAAGAGCTTTTCTTTCATTATTACACGTAATTATAATAATTTTGACTATACAAACCTACAATTTAATCACAATTGACAAAAGAAAGACAGATGGTGAGACCATTTGATGGACACAAAGACATTGTAGGGACTTTTTGTTGCATTTTAGGAAATTATATGACATTAAAAGAAGAGAAAATTGAAGCACAGAATACAAACTAAAGACAAAAACAAAAGGGGAAAAAAACAATAGCTGATTACATAAATCTCAGATACAGTAGCTGATCAATGTCTGATGACTATGAATGGCAACCAGGTAATTGTAAATGCATGTGCCTACATACAGTAGAAAGATCTGTGCGTACATGCACAGGGACATTTTGGGGACATTTTCACAGACAAATGAACAACCAGGAGCTATAAGTGCAACCTCAGTCTGAAATTTGTAACCACAACTTTTTGGCCATTACCATTTTTTGGGGGGGAGTTTGCAATTTGCTGAAGGTCATGCACAAAGACTTGATGTCTTTCTTTTTTAATTACTCATCAGGATTCTAAGGCCAGCCTGGAATTCCCCCCTTCCTCTTAGCTAAACAGCTTACTGCATTTTGAACAACAACTGCTACAAAAAATGTATAATGTTGCTTATCTGACTTACATATTACAAGGTCCACTGTGTTTTTTTTCCAATGGTTATACAGGGACATTTTGAGGGTTGTTTTTTTAAGGGAGGGGTTTATTATTGAATGTAATGTGTAGGGACCATTCACATTGAGGTTAACCTTCCTTGTCAGACTTTAAAGGCAACATCAGCTGTTGGGGAAATAACAACGGACTATATATGGACCTCCTGGTGACTCACCAGTGCGAGGTTGTAATCATGAGTCACAAGCTTATTCAACATGTTGGGACTAGCTGGAAATGAAGGGAAAGGTCACTTGCTGAACAACCAGCAGGTGGCGGTGTCAGTCAAGATTTCTGACAGCAGCGCCCTGCTGTCTGCCTCTCTGACCCACTGATGGTGTAGATTAGGTTTAAGGTTATCCAGATATTATGAAGATACTTTATCTGCATTCAACGCAAATGTCAAATTGGTCTAGTATTTAACTCATCTCAAGAAAACACCTATCATGGAGAACACTGGGGTTAGAATTTAACCTTTTCTTTTGTGATAATTTACCCCAATTGTGCAACTTCTGTGAAGGGTGCAACATGATTAGTTTATAGGCTTTGCATCTTGTTCTTTTTGCTCAAATTACTTGAATTAAATATAAAGACAAGGCTACATACACGATGTAAACACCGTCTCCAAGCCCTCTGCATCTGGAAAGAGAATCATGTTGAATGTCCCACCGATAAGATAAAACGCCTGACCGTGGCACGTGGCGCTTTTGAGGAGGGGGCCACGCGCATCTGTCGCGCATCTGCCCGCAGGGTAACCTGCTGAATGGAGAGGGGTTATTAGGAGAGTGGGGGTGCACACAGGACACGCACACACACACACACACACACACACACACACACACACACACACACACACACACACACACACACACGTCCCCTCCCAGCCCCCTGAAAGGACCAGGGGCAGGTGGAGGATGTGTGTATTGTTGTGTTTCTTGAGGAGAGACGACACGCGCCAGTTCAGGCTGGCAATTAAGCCTCCTTTTAAAGGGCTGAACAAAAAACTGGCGTGTGCCGGCCTCAAGCTGTTCGGCTCCCGACTCCAAAATATACGATGCCATTGACAAATCTCATTCAATGTGGGTCAGGGCAGTTTCCCCTGATCTCGCTTCTGTAAATCTCAGGTAGACAGTAAACACTTACAGGACAGGTCTGGTCGGGATAAACACGCGTGCAGGTGCGCCAACAAGCTTGTTTATTGAGGACGAGGTAAAGCTCTACAGGGAAAGTTCAGGCTATATTTAACACATCAGTGATTCCCCAGCCCGGGGAAGTCCAGTTCTTATAAGACTGTTCCAGAGCTTGCCGTGGATTCATCTCAATACTGATACCGCTGCTGGTTCCCCCCAACAGAAAAACCTTTTCCATGAACTGATCTGCACTCATCCTCACCGCATTTTTCCCCTTATTATAGGATTAAAAAAAAACAACTTTATTTTTCCTTAAAGCACACGCTGCCACATTATTATTAATATATGAATCCCACCTTGTATGTAGGCCGTAAACAAGCATGTTATTGTGATATAACAGTGATAACAGATGTCCACTTTAAACTATTCATTGGGACATTACAACTGTTTGCAGAGACTCTGAAAGTTTGTCGTAAACAGGGACTTTTCGTTTTTGCTCAGTGTGATGATGTTGGATGTTGACAAGGCAAGAAGGAATCGATGGTGGGTGGAGGGGGGGGGAATTTCTTGAAAGGTTGTAATCTTGGCCCACGTGGGGTTGTCAACAAGCTCTGCGGAACTGCCAGGGGGACTTTTGCTTTCCTCACCCCGGCTGCTCTGAGCCAATCGCAGGAGTTGAAGCGCGGAAAGGACCGCCCCTTGCCGAGAAACTACGCTGAGCTTCTATAAATCCACACACAGCCTGTTCGGAGCTCAGAATAACGCAGCAGACTACACTGACAACCACACACAGCCACTTCTTCTCTTTTTCACCGACAAGCACGAACGCACTTGGATTATAACTATGACTCTGGAAGAGATCCACGGACAGGAGAACACAATGGAAACCTCAGACAGGTACATTTTTAACGCAGTGATTTAACAATTTGAAGGCAGTTAAATGAATGTCTTGCTGTTTTATTGTGTTGTACCCGGTGTTCTGATGATGCGTTATTTTTCTTTGTGAAGGGTGCAAAGTGCAGGCACAGCGCTGGAGGAGCTGCTGCTTTCTGCTAAGAAGCAAGACTATCTCACAGTCGGAGTTTATGAATCTGCAAAAGTCATGAATGTGTAAGTATTGCAAACCGTGAAATCTAACCTTCCGTGTCTTTAAACAAAAAAAAATGAGCATAAGCAATTCGTATTGGACTATTTTTCTGACCATCGTTCCTGTCTTGTCTACAGTGACCCAGACAGCGTGGCATTCTGCGTCCTCGCCACCGATGAGGAGTACGAGTGTGACATTGCCCTGCAGATCCACTTCACCCTCATACAGGCTTTCTGCTTCGACAACGACATCAACGTGGTGCGCGTTAACGACATCGAGCGCCTGGCCGACCTCGTGGGTGCAGACGAGACCGGCGAGCCCAAGGACGCGCACTGCATTCTTGTCACGGTACGTTTCCCCGGATGCACCCACTCGCAGTCTGTAGGCAGCAGCCGGTGAATCACGCATGCATGCATCACTACCCTTGTCTGGCTTTTCTGTGCGCTTACTGCATGTCTGTGACAGGTGTTCTGACTCTAAATGTGTCCTGTTCTTTTTTTGATTCCAGAGCCCCAATGCAAACCCGTGGAAAGACCCAGCTCTGGACAAGCTGAGCCTGTTCTGCGAGGAGAGTCGCAGTGTTTACGACTGGGTTCCCACCATCACACTCCCCGAGCGCTGAAGAGACATTCCACTTATAATACTTCACATGCTGATGATGAAGATGATGAAAAGAAAAGTCCTGGAGCTGATCTTCAGCTAGGGGTGTTGAGCCTTGCTGCCCCACATGTCTGGATTAAGAGGCTGCAAGAGTGCTGCACCCTTTCAGTGCATTCTGGGTCAGTACCTACCGCTTCTGGATTACCCTGAGGAAAGGGGGTTCAAGTATGGAGGTCGCAGTGTGGACTTGGTCATATGTTTGAAGAGTGGACCAGAAGCCTAATGGACACTAAGAAGGATTTGGAGTGTACTGCATAGTGCATGAATAGTTGTGACCCAGTTGCTGCCCTACATTGAAGGCAATTGGGAACAGAGCAAAGAAGGTCACAGAAATATAGACTGTGCAAGAAAAGGACATGAGAATGTGCAGAGGCAGGACTGAATCTCATCAAGGAAGATGCTGGTTCAGAGGAGAGAATCTGAAACTGGACTTTCTTTTTCTTTTCCAGAGCAGCTATCAGGGAATTCTTGGAGTAAGCAGAGACTTTGCTTGCAAATCCTGATTTGAGCTGTGTCTGCAACGGCAACTTTTTCACAGACTACTATTTTTTTTTTTTTAAATGATTTTTAAAGATGCACACAAAGCAATGCAAAATGAACTTGAATTGTACTTTATTTTTTAATGTTTTGTGAATAAAAAAAATTGAAATCAAACTCATCCTCTCGTAAGAAATGTTATTTCTCTTTTGCATGAAGCGTCACAGCACATTTGCACTCAGCAGCTTGCCAGGTTGGCCAAGAGTGTGGGAAGTTTAAGCAGATTGTACCAATATAGATGCGCCAGGAAGTGATGCAAGACATTAGCTTTACCCAGTAAAAGGGAAGAAGTAGAGAGTAAAATGTGGGTGGCGGATGGAAAGTTGGGTGCGTATGAGAAAAGATTACGAAAAAGAGATTCGTTTTTAACAAATTGATTATTGCGATATGTGCTCTTTCCGAGCACTGATCTTACACTGCTACAAAACCAGCTGCTTTATGTGACAGCTTGCGCAATTGCTGCAGCCAGTAACCAGGCTGGGGTGTTGGGGGTGGGGGGGGGACTTGCAGGAAAGAGCTTTCTTTTGTTTTCTGTGCACAGGCAGCTGAGTCTAGAGGACTGTGACAGGTTTGTGCATCCAAATGGAAACAGGAGACTGCGTAGAAATAATAACCCAATTTGCTGATCTGCTGTAGAGTGCTGAGGTCGACGTTTTATATCAGAGATGCATTGTTAGGAAAGTATTTCATAGTTTTCATGCACAATGGTTTGGATTGATAAATCCTGCAGTGGCTTACAAAATCATGCAAACTATTAGGCAACCCATGGAGAAAGAAATGAAAAGTTGAAAGTTTTGTTTCCTTGTAAATACATGCACACACAGCCACGTGCAATCAAACCGTAGTAACGGCACTGGTATTGTAGGCGAGCTTTAGCAGAATGAGAGGTCAGCGAGATCATCAGTTGCAGGTAAAGGGGAAGTGTGTATTTCGCGGTTGCCTCTGAGCTGAAACTGACAGTAAAGGAAAACCCACATCAAAGAGATTGCAAACTTCAGAGGAACTAATCTCACTTTTCTTGGCAGCACCTTGGCCTCCAGCAAACCGCTGGTCACCCCCTGCATGTGTGCACACCTGAACACACAGGTTCATGAACATACACAGACACACACTCTGTCTGTACTTAGAAGGAGCTCAGGTGATTCTCAGAACAGGGGAAACTTTACTCAGACAGAGTTAAAAGAAACAAGCTGTAGAAAAGTATTGGAGGGGCTTTCCATTTATAGAACTTTCTGCAATAGCAAGCATATGGGAAAACAAAATAAGGACCCATAAATGCAAAGAAAACTGTCATTTTTGCACATTCAGTCTCAGAACTGGAGCTAGATTGGGTTCAGTCATAAACCAATATGAAGTGTAATGCTGCTTGCGATGACTATTTGTCTGTGGCTGCTCTGCACCGTGGACTCTGTAGAAACATGAAGCCTGTTTCAGAGTTGAACTACAAAATCCTGTAAAAAATAATTGAAAAAAAAATACAATAAAAGTCACAGACAACTCATTTTTGGAAACATTCAAAATGTCCAGAATCTAAACAAAGGCCTGAAAACAGAAAGTTTTTTTTTTTTTATTAAGCACATGTTTCAGAAAGCATGTCCAGGGATTTTTTAAAAATCTATGCAGGTCAGTGTTCTCCAGGCAGCGTTTTCTGTCATCCAATCAGAAAAAACATTACCTGCAACAATAGCAGAGTCAACCGTGTCTAATCTTGACCTGTTTTTGAAAACCCTAATATTGAATGCCCCCGATAAGACCACTTTTCACAAGAATAATTTTATTTTATACGCAGAATAAGGAAAGTACAACTGGCAAAGTGTAAGGTAGTTACCGTTGAGTGCTAAGTGTAATGTTGACCAAACCCTTGACCTACTTTAGATAAACAGTGATGATCTTTGCGAGAGATCAGATTTGTCACTGTGCCTTATAAAACCTGATTTCTCTTGTTCTGCTTTACTCCAGCTCACATTATATACTATCTCAATCCTAATATATGTGTCAGCAACTCATGAAGGCAGTAAACAAGCTTTAAAAACAACAACACCACCACTACAGGTGAATCTGGGCCAGCAGAGAACGAGACAGACAGCAGCAGGTACTGGAAAGGTTTCCTTGTGTCTGCCTCTACTACTGTTTAAGTTACCAAACAGCTCTTCCCTGTGTTGGCGGTGGTGCAAAAGCCTGAAGCAACAGTCCAGACTGTGGAGCAACCCGACCGTCTGACTGTCTGCGCGAGGTCTGAGCCAGAGATCTAGAGCTACGATAGACTTAGAAGGAGGCATCAAGAGCAGACAGATGTGTGCTCTGACTTGAAAACATGTGTGTGTGTGTGTTCGACTGTGGCACAGAAAGATGGTAAACACCCAGTAGTAGTTTACAACAGATCCAGACTGTTCTCTTTTTCTTCCAATATGATGTGTTGACAACGACTCCACTGATTTATTTCTCTTAAGGCTGTTTTTGCTTTGCCCCGGAATAAAGCTTTAGTTCTTTCTTCTACAGCAGTTGCATAACTCACAATCGTAAGCAAAATGTTTTGTAATTTCAAAATAGGAAACATTTAGTCTCTTTGACTTTGCTTTGATACTACACTCATTTCATTGCGTAGCCTTGAGAAACATTCTCCTCACAGATTAGCTGCAATTAGCTAGTTTTGTGAAAGCTAACCCTGATTGGTTGTTTGATTCAGACCACATACATCTTTGTTTAATTGCCTTGCATGCATCCTATTGGGAGAGAAAAGCAATGCACAGTGAACATACTGTAGCTACATAAAGTTGTCCTGCACACGTCTACAATCACACATAATGGCTTCTGTTTAGCTACTTTAACCCTGTCCAAATGTTACTGATGGTGTTTCCATATTAGGACCTGATTCCCAGACTTGTGGTTCGACTGTAAATGCTAAATGCTTCACAGGGACTTTGGTAGAATGATACTCCGCCCTTCCCAGAGTCATTACTTTTCACGGAGAGCTGTGGTCCCTTCTTCCCATTCCCTTCTCTGTCTCACTTACAGTAACCACAGCAAGATGAGATTACACCATGAGCTGGCAGCGAGCATCCAATCTCACCCCACCCAGCTCTAAAAACTCTCCCTCCCTCTCCTTCGCTCATGTCCAGATCGGTACCATGAGCTCAGGACCCAGCTGGCTCTGGCAGGCGATGCAGAGAGATAGATAGCCTAGATGGACGCCTGGTGTTGGGTGTCTCTAATCTAAGTAGATACACCCCCTCACTGGGGAGGGATGAGCTGCACCCTGAGCTGCCGCTGCTGCAGCTTAAAGTGAACTCACTCTGCAGAGGGTTGCGTGGTGAGCCAGCACAATATACACCTTTCAAAAAGGTTCTCAGATTGACAATGTAGGGAATTTCTCATCGCTAAAGGGGTCAGGGTGATTTCAGTAGAACAAACATGTGCACACAGTGAGGCTGCTGTTTGTTGGAAGTCTCTATCAATCTGTCAGTGTGAGCTGAAGAAGTGTTTTTTTTGTGGTTGTGGTTAGGCTGAGGTAGCTGTAAATTTTCATGCAAACGCAAATGCACACACACCTATACGTACACACACACACACACACACACACACACACACACACACACACACACACACACACACACACACGCACACGCATCTGAGCACCTGCGATGACCGCACCACACATGATGCACACCTCTAAGTTGAGAAGAAATGATCACGGCTGCGTTTCTATCGACAGAGCCTGTAATCATAGTAAAACAGCTGTGTGTGAGCCAAGGGGAGGGTGACCAGGTTACAACACACACACGCACACACACACACACACACACACAAACACACGCACTGAAACACCTGAGCAGCAGTTTAAAACCAACTGTCTCTAAGGGGGTAGAGTGACACACACACAGCAGGTCATTGCAGATGAGGTCATGACACAAACTTTAACTGTTAATGTGAAATCATACTCTTGGTTGAAACCAATGAGACAATTACCTTAAATATATAATAATTCAAATAACAGCTGGGCAGATAGAACGGTCTCAAACTGTGAAATGATTCCCAGTGCTATATGTGCAGGATATAATCATTTGTTTTCAAATTGGTACGTCTGCATAAATTGCCCTCTGATTGCATCATGGGTGTTTGTTTAGTGGCATCTAAACGGATTGACTGGATAAAGTGCATCATTTCTTCAAGCAATGTCTGTATTATTAGCATTAAAAAGAAGATCATGTAAGTGCCTTCATTGCATTGGAACTCACTGCTCACTGTTTTAAATGTTATGAGCTGGTGAACTTGTATAAACTTCAGGTCACATGGGCCATTCTTAGATCGCAGGGTCCCACTGCCAGATTACTGATTTGATCCCGCTTTGTGGTATTTCACATCAAGTGAACCCCAGCCTGACAAACATGCAGAATTCTCTCAAACACTCAGAGGAGTAAACAAGTTAACCCTGCAGAAGATTTAAGATAGTGACCTGAGTTTCCGTTGAGTGATCTGATGCCAAATGCATTGATCAAATGAGGTTAGGGCTTTTGTGTTTGTCCCTTTACATAAGCTGCAACGAGCAAAGGCTATTTCAGGACAACTGAGAAAGCTCCCGGGAGAGTCTCAGACTCTTATGGTCTCACCTGGTTTGATCTGGCACTGAAGAGAGCACAAAGGGAAAGCCTCTGGTATCTGTGCATGTTTTCTGCTCTACTGTAGCTGCCAGTCTGGATGAGTTGAGGCGATGTTAAGTGATTCGCCAAATATGGATGGCAGGCTGTAACCTCGGACACATTACTGACATAGCTGAGCTTATCCTTCCAGAAGCGCATGTACTCAAAGCCGTGCCAGGAATCCCCTCGCATAACCCGCAATCCTCAAGTAGAGCAGCAGGCCGGAAGGGACGGCC